TAGAGAGTCATCAGATTGATAAATGGTCGTCGTGTCCCCTACACCTGTCTGTAATTAGAGATACAGAGAGTAATCAGATTGATAAAGGGTCGTCGTGTCCCCTACACCTGTCTGTATTTAGAGATATAGAGAGTCATCACATTGATAAAGGGTCCCCTACACCTGTCTGTATTTAGAGATACAGAGAGTCTGAATGGTACATCAGACCATTGATAAAGGGTATACACCTGTCTGTATATATACCAGACTATATGTATATAGTCATCACATTGATAAAGGGTTGTGTAACACCTGTCTGTATTTAGCTCATACTGTGATGTATATAGACCAGTATGTATATACACTGTCTGTATGTATATAGACCAGTACTGTGATGTATATAGACCAGTCCTTGATGTATATAGACCAGTACTGTGTGATGTATATAGACCAGTACTGTGATGTATATAGACCAGTACTGTGTATATAGACCAGTACTGTCTGTATGTATATAGATACCAGTCACTGTGTGATGTATATAAACCAGTACTGTGATGTATATAGACCAGTACTGTGATGTATATAAAGTACTGTGATGTATATAGACCAGTACTGTGATGTATATAGACCAGTACTGTGATGTATATAGACCAGTACTGTGATGTATATAGACCAGTACTGTGATGTATATAGACCAGTACTCTGATGTATATAGACCAGTACTGTGATGTATATAGACCAGTACTGTATATAGACCAGTATGTGATATATAGACCAGTACTGTGATGTATATAGACCACTGAGATGTATATAGACCAGTACTGTGATGTATATAGACCAGTACTGTGATGTATATAGACCAGTACTGTGATGTATATAGACCAGTACTGTGTTGTATATAGACCAGTACTGTGATGTATATAGACCAGTACTGTGATGTATATAGACCAGTACTGTGATGTATATAGACCAGTACTGTGATGTATATAGACCAGTACTGTGATGATGTATATAGACCAGTACTGTGATGTATATAGACCAGTACTGTGATGTATATAGACCAGTACTGTGATGTATATAGACCAGTACTGTGATGTATATAGACCAGTACTGTGTTGTATATAGACCAGTACTGTGATGTATATAGACCAGTACTGTGATGTATATAGACCAGTACTGTGATGTATATAGACCAGTACTGTGATGTATATAGACCAGTACTGTATATAGACCAGTACTGTGATGTATATAGACCAGTACTGTGATGTATATAGACCAGTACTGTGGTGACCAGACCAGTACTACTGATGTATATAGACCAGTATGTATATAGACCAGTACTTTGACCAGTAATGTATATAGACCAGTACTGTGTGATGTATATAGACCAGTACTGTGATGTATATAGACCAGTACTGTGTGATGTATATAGACCAGTACTGTGATGTATATAGACCACTGTAATGTATATAGACCAGTACTGTGGCGATGTATATAGACCAGTACTGTGATGTATATAGACCAGTACTGTGATGTATATAGACCAGTACTGTGATGTATATAGACCAGTACTGTGTTGTATAGAGACCACTGTGATGTATATAGACCAGTACTGTGTGATGTATATAGACCAGTACTGTGATGTATATAGACCAGTACTGTGATGTATATAGACCAGTACTGTGATGTATATAGACCAGTACTGTGGTGATGTATATAGACCAGTACTGTGATGTATATAGACCAGTACTGTGATATATATAGACCAGTACTGTGGTGATGTACATAGACCAGTACTGTGATGTATATAGACCAGTACTGTGTTGTATATAGACCAGTACTGTGATGTATATAGACCAGTACTGTGTTGTATATAGACCAGTACTGTGATGTATATAGACCAGTACTGTGATGTATATAGACCAGTACTGTGATGTATATAGACCAGTACTGTGATGTATATAGACCAGTACTGTGATGTATATAGACCAGTACTGTGATGTATATAGACCAGTACTGTGATGTATATAGACCAGTACTGTGATGTATATAGACCAGTACTGTGATGTATATAGACCAGTACTGTGATGTATATAGACCAGTACTGTGATGTATATAGACCAGTACTGTGGTGATGTATATAGACCAGTACTGTGATGTATATAGACCAGTACTGTGATGTATATAGACCAGTACTGTGGTGATGTATATAGACCAGTACTGTGATGTATATAGACCAGTACTGTGATGTATATAGACCAGTACTGTGATGTATATAGACCAGTACTGTGATGTATATAGACCAGTACTGTGATGTATATAGACCAGTACTGTGATGTATATAGACCAGTACTGTGATGTATATAGACCAGTACTGTGATGTATATAGACCAGTACTGTGATGTATATAGACCAGTACTGTGATGTATATAGACCAGTACTGTGATGTATATAGACCAGTACTGTGATGTATATAGACCAGTACTGTGATGTATATAGACCAGTACTGTGATGTATATAGACCAGTACTGTGATGTATATAGACCAGTACTGTGATGTATATAGACCAGTACTGTGATGTATATAGACCAGTACTGTGATGTATATAGACCAGTACTGTGATGTATATAGACCAGTACTGTGATGTATATAGACCAGTACTGTGATGTATATAGACCAGTACTGTGATGTATATAGACCAGTACTGTGATGTATATAGACCAGTACTGTGATGTATATAGACCACTGTGATGTATATAGACCAGTACTGTGATGTATATAGACCAGTACTGTGATGTATATAGACCAGTACTGTGATGTATATAGACCAGTACTGTGATGTATATAGACCAGTACTGTGATGTATATAGACCAGTACTGTGATGTATATAGACCAGTACTGTGTTGTATATAGACCAGTACTGTGATGTATATAGACCAGTACTGTGATGTATATAGACCAGTACTGTGATGTATATAGACCAGTACTGTGATGTATATAGACCAGTACTGTGATGTATATAGACCAGTACTGTGATGTATATAGACCAGTACTGTGATGTATATAGACCAGTACTGTGATGTATATAGACCAGTACTGTGATGAATATAGACCAGTACTGTGATGTATATAGACCTGTGATGTATATAGACCAGTACTGTGATGTATATAGACCAGTACTGTGATGTATATAGACCAGTACTGTGGTGATGTATATAGACCAGTACTGTGATGTATATAGACCACTGTGATGTATATAGACCAGTACTGTGATGTATATAGACCAGTACTGTGATGTATATAGACCAGTACTGTGATGTATATAGACCAGTACTGTGGTGATGTATATAGACCAGTACTGTGATGTATATAGACCAGTACTGTGATGTATATAGACCAGTACTGTGATGTATATAGACCAGTACTGTGGTGATGTATATAGACCAGTACTGTGGTGATGTATATAGACCAGTACTGTGATGTATATAGACCAGTACTGTGATGTATATAGACCAGTACTGTATATAGACCAGTACTGTGATGTATATAGACCTGTACTGTGATGTATATAGACCAGTACTGTGATGTATATAGACCAGTACTGTGATGTATATAGACCAGTACTGTGATGTATATAGACCAGTACTGTGATGTATATAGACCAGTACTGTGATGTATATAGACCAGTACTGTGATGTATATAGACCAGTACTGTGATGTATATAGACCAGTACTGTGATGTATATAGACCAGTACTGTGATGTATATAGACCAGTACTGTGATGTATATAGACCAGTACTGTGATGTATATAGACCAGTACTGTGATGTATATAGACCAGTACTGTGATGTATATAGACCAGTACTGTGTTGTATATAGACCAGTACTGTGATGTATATAGACCAGTACTGTGTTGTATAGAGACCACTGTGATGTATATAGACCACTGTAATGTATATAGACCAGTACTGTTGGGAAAACACACTTTTTAGACTGAAATGAATTATCCTTGTTACAAGTTAATTATAGCGAAGAGAATTCCAGAGGTAGCAATATCACACAGTCGGATTCCAGGTATGGGAGATGGTGTAGTCACGGGGAACAACTCTTAAAGAACTACTGATGTCTGGTTGTAGGCAAAGGAAACGAACGCAAATAAATCTTCGAATTTATCAGTACTGGGAGTACTTGTCAGGAAAATATACTTTCCAATCGAGTGATGCCGTTTTAACAGACAACTTGAAATCCTGTCTTAAGCGTCGCCTTTGTAATATTTTTGACTCCGTTGTTCGGACATGTTTGATGATAGGTTTTCCGAGTAATCTGGCGCTACCATTATTACAAAATATAATATCAGGCGTTTCATGAACTGGGAGTTGTTTCAGGAACTCTTTGAACTGGAAAACCAAAAATGTGAATTGTTGAGAGTTGTAGCGATTGAAGAGTTTTTAGTTAAAAAAATACCCGAATGTTGCCTTAGATTTTCACACGTAGAGTAAACAAATTTAGCATAGATAATACGCATACAGAATAGAGTTTGATGAGGCCAATTATTCTGTTTTAGTTGGAACAATATTTGTTCGTCAAAAACAGTTCGTTTGTAAAGTTATTTCTTTTTATTTGGCCATTCATGTAAGATTTGATGCCCAAGAATTTCGCATTAAACTGCATTATATTAGCTTTCAGACAATTCTTAATTTTTTTTAATTGGTCCAAACTAGCGAGCTACAATTTAATCATATTCTGAAATGAGCAATATGTTGGGCATATACGTTATAATTTATCGTATATATGTCCGGGTTGTTTTGTTTATATAGTAAGTACTTTGGGAACTGGTACTATGGTGGATATATCGTGTTGTACTACGGCTGGTTTTGTGCTGATGTCAAAATTACATATATGTAACATGTAGACAGTAAAATACACTATTACCAGTCACATCACTGCCTATGGAAATAGTTCAGCCTCCCACATCGTTGTGACGTCACGACCTACAAGGCCTGGTCCGCCTCCTGACAGCCGCGGAGTCAGACGGAGCGAGCTCTAGAACAGCTACAGGTAAGTTTCCTAGGTCCATTCTCAGATTTATCATTTTTAAGATAAAGTATATTAGAATGGTATTAACGTATTTTGCTGTCGCTAATGCCAACAAAATCTAAATTTAGACACAACATGGATATTTTTCCACGGAATAAACTTTTCGATGTATAAAAACTTTAAAAAGTGTAAAAGTATCCAATTGCCGAATCATCTGTGAACTTGATATCATATTATTGTCAGTGTACTGGTAGTTGTATTGTCAGTGTACTGGTAGTTGTATTGTCAGTGTACTGGTAGTTGTATTGTCAGTGTACTGGTAGTTGTATTGTCAGTGTACTGGTAGTTGTATTGTCAGTGTACTGGTAGTTGTATTGTCAGTGTACTAGTAGTTGTATTGTCAGTGTACTGGTAGTTGTATTGTCAGTGTATTGGTAGTTGTATTGTCAGTGTATTGGTAGTTGTATTGTCAGTGTACTGGTAGTTGTATTGTCAGTGTACTGGTAGTTGTATTGTCAGTGTACTAGTAGTTGTATTGTCAGTGTATTGGTAGTTGTATTGTCAGTGTACTGGTAGTTGTATTGTCAGTGTACTGGTAGTTGTATTGTCAGTAGTTGTATTGTCAGTGTACTGGTAGTTGTATTATCAGTGTATTGGTAGTTGTATTGTCAGTGTACTGGTAGTTGGATTGTCAGTGTACTGGTAGTTGTATTGTGAGTGTATTGGTAGTTGTATTGGCAGTGTACTGGTAGTTGTATTGTCAGTATATTGGTAGTTGTATATTCAGTGTATTGGTAGTTGTATTGTCAGTAGTTGTATTGTCAGTGTACAAGTAGTTGTATTGTCAGTGTGCTGGTAGTTGTATTGTCAGTAGTTGTATTGTCAGTGTATTGGTAGTTGTATTGTCAGTGTGCTGGTAGTTGTATTGTCAGTAGTTGTATTGTCAGTGTACTAGTAGTTGTATTGTCAGTGTACTGGTAGTTGTATTGTCAGTGTACTAGTAGTTGTATTGTCAGTGTACTGGTAGTTGTATTGTCAGTGTACTGGTAGTTGTATTGTCAGTAGTTGTATTGTCAGTGTACTAGTAGTGGTATTGTCAGTGTACTGGTAGTTGTATTGTCAGTGAACTGGTAGTTGTATTGTCAGTGTACAAGTAGTTGTATTGTCAGTGTGCTGGTAGTTGTATTGTCAGTAGTTGTATTGTCAGTGTACTAGTAGTTGTATTGTCAGTGTACTGGTAGTTGTATTGTCAGTGTACTGGTAGTTGTATTGTCAGTAGTTGTATTGTCAGTGTACTAGTAGTTGTATTGTCAGTGTACTGGTAGTTGTATTGTCAGTGTACTGGTAGTCGTATTGTCAGTAGTTGTATTGTCAGTGTACTAGTAGTGGTATTGTCAGTGTACTGGTAGTTGTATTGTCAGTGAACTGGTAGTTGTATTGTCAGTGTACAAGTAGTTGTATTGTCAGTGAACTGGTAGTTGTATTGTCAGTGTACTGGTAGTTGTATTGTCAATGTATTAGTAGTTGTATTGTCAGTGTACTGGTAGTTGTATTGTCAGTGTACTGGTAGTTGTATTGTCAGTGTATTAGTAGTTGTATTGTCAGTGTACAAGTAGTTGTATTGTAAGTGTACTGGTAGTTGTATTGTCAGTGTATTAGTAGTTGTATTGTCAGTGTACTGGTAGTTGTATTGTCAGTGTACTGGTAGTTGTATTGTCAGTGTATTAGTAGTTGTATTGTCAGTGTACAAGTAGTTGTATTGTCAGTGTACTGGTAGTTGTATTGTCAGTGTATTAGTAGTTGTATTGTCAGTGTACTGGTAGTTGTATTGTCAGTGTACTGGTAGTTGTATTGTCAGTGTACTGGTAGTTGTATTGTCATTAGTTGTATTGTCAGTGTACTAGTAGTAGCATTGTCAGTGTACTGGTAGTTGTATTATCAGTGTATTAGTAGTTGTATTGTCAGGGAACCGGTAGTTGTATTGTCAGTAGTTGTATTGTCAGTGAACCGGTAGTTGTATTGTCAGTGTATTAGTAGTTGTATTGTCAGTGAACTGGTAGTTGTATTGTCAGTAGTTGTATTGTCAGTGAACTGGTAGTTGTATTGTCAGTAGTTGTATTGTCAGTTTACTGGTAGTTGTATTGTCAGGGTACTAGTAGTTGTATTGTCAGTGTACTGGTAGTTGTATTGTGGGTGTACTGGTAGTTGTATTGTCAATGTACTAGTAGTTGTATTGTCAGTGTACTGGTAGTGGTATTGTCAGTGTACTGGTAGTTGTATTGTCAGTGTACTAGTAGTAGAATTGTCAGTGTACTAGTAGTTGTATTGTCAGTGTACTAGTAGTTGTATTGTCAGTGTACTGGTAGTTGTATTATCGGTGTACTGGTAGTCGTATTGTCAGTAGTTGTATTGTCAGTGTACTAGTACAGTACCCATTTTGTGCAGTTGGGAAAATGGTTGACTGATATCACGGATTGAAAATTTAACGGAAAACACATGTAGATAAGCCTCAATAGCGATCATAACCGTTTAAAATGTTGATCCGTGTTTTTAAATTTTATCTTTAATTCGAATTTTCGATATAACAACGGACCTAGCGTTGATAAGAAATTTCCTGTGTACAGTTTACCACTTCAGAGTGACGAGTGGTGTGGTTCGGGCGGCAAAATTTACATGTATACGGGTACATGTATATACAATATTTATAATTTCCTGATGTTTTTAGAATGTTTAATAGTCTAATCGTCAGTAAGAGAGGGATTCAATACGTCTTGGGAGGTTCACTTCTGACGAAATATCGTGTGACATAAATAGTTTATCATGTCAAAATGTATTTCAACATTTGCATAAAGTGATGGTTACCTTCCTGTTTGGTTTTGTGTCGGGAGTTTCATGACGTTTCATTAGTTAGTAGTGTTGGTTTTAGATGCAGTTTGAACTTCAAAGTTAATTACGGCCAATTCTAAAGGTGTTTAGGTCTTTTGAAGACAGTGCGTATAATGACTGTTTAGTGGAATCAGCAGATAAGCTAAGATAGCTGTAGATAAAAGACTGATACGAGATGCGAAGAAACGAGTTCAAATTCAAATCAAATGGTTTAACGTTCGCCACCACTTCCTATGCCCCAGGGTGGCCACCACGTCTTATGCCCCAATTAGCCACCATGTCATGTGCCCCAGGGTGGTCAACATATCCTTTGCCCCAGCGTAGCCATCATGTCCTGTGATTCAGGGTGGCCAACAAATCCTTTGTCCCAGCTTAGCCACCATGTCCTGTGATTCAGGGTGGCCAACAAATCTTTTGTCCCAGCTTAGCCACCATGTCCTGTGATTCAGGGTGGCCAACATATCCTTTGCCCCAGCGTAGCCATCATTTCCTGTGACCTAGGGTGGCCTTAATACCTGCGGTGGTCTTCTGGCCATCCTAACTTACACTGGAAGTAACCATGATATGTAACGGTAACCATTAGGCAGTCTGCTGGAGAGCAGCAAATGAAATAAACTTGCTTCAACCAATGCAACAAAGGTTTAGATATTTCTTCTGGTAACCTTCCGAACGTTGTCCGTCTGTAGGTAGCGTTTTATTTTTAGAAGTTTTTGTTACCAAATTTATTTATAAAAACAATATATATTTTCTGCTGTTTGTAGATTATTGTTTGACACGATGGGAACAAAGAGTATTATCCTACTTGCTCAATTAATCAGCGGACTTATTTTTGTTCAAGGTAAGTCAAAGTTTTGACGTTATTCCTAATTTATACTATAACACTTCAACACATCTTTCAAAACCTAATCAGATTGTCCACCAGATATATTTGTGTAGTTCTACAAATCCCTGATATTATCTGGTCCACCAGATATGTTTGTGTAGTTCTACAAAGCCCTGATATTATCTGGTCCACCAGATATATTTGTGTAGTTCTACAAAGCCCTGATATCATCTGGTCCACCAGGTATATTTGTGTAGTTCTACAAAGCCATGATATAATCTGGCGCACCAGATATATTTGTGTAGTTCTACAAAGCCCTGATATCATCTGGTCCACCAGATATATTTGTGTAGTTCTACAAAGCCCTGATATAATCTGGTCCACCAGATATATTTGCGTAGTTCTACAAAGCCCTGATATCATCTGGTCCACCAGATATATTTGCGTAGTTCTACAAAGCCCTGATATAATCTGGTCCACCAGATATATTTGCGTAGTTCTACAAAGCCCTGATATCATCTGGTCCACCAGATATATTTGCGTAGTTCTACAAAGCCCTGATATAATCTGGTCCACCAGATATATTTGTGTAGTTCTACAAAGCTCTGATATAATCTGGTCCACCAGATATATTTGTGTAGTTCTACAAAGCTCTGATATAATCTGGTCCACCAGATATATTTGTGTAGTTCTACAAAGCCCTGATATCATCTGGTCCACCAGGTATATTTGTGTAGTTCTACAAAGTCATGATATAATCTGGTCCACCAGATATATTTGTGTAGTTCTACAAAGCTCTGATATAATCTACAGGTATAAGCAAAGCCCTGATATAATCTGGTCCACCAGATATATTTGTGTAGTTCTACAAAGCCCTGATATCATCTGGTCCACCAGATATATTTGTGTAGTTCTACAAAGCCCTGATATCATCTGGTCCACCAGATATATTTGTGTAGTTCTACAAAGCCCTGATATCATCTGGTCCACCAGATATATTTGTGTAGTTCTACAAAGCCCTGATATCATCTGGTCCACCAGATATATTTGTGTAGTTCTACAAAGCTCTGATATAATCTGGTCCACCAGATATATTTGTGTAGTTCTACAAAGCTCTGATATAATCTGGTCCACCAGATATATTTGTGTAGTTCTACAAAGCCCTGATATAATCTGGTCCACCAGATATATTTGTGTAGTTCTACAAAGCCCTGATATAATCTGGTCCACCAGGTATATTTGTGTAGTTCTACAAAGCCCTGATATAATCTGGTCCACCAGATATATTTGTGTAGTTCTACAAAGCCCTGATATAATCTGGTCCACCAGATATATTTGTGTAGTTCTACAAAGCCCTGATATAATCTGGTCCACCAGATATATTTGTGTAGTTCTACAAAGCCCTGATATAATCTGGTCCACCAGATATATTTTGTAGTTCTTCAAAGCTCTGATATAATCTGGTCCACCAGATATATTTGCGTAGTTCTACAAAGCTCTGATATAATCTGGTCCACCAGATATATTTTGTAGTTCTTCAAAGCTCTGATATAATCTGGTCCACCAGATATATTTGTGTAGTTCTTCTAAGCTATTAGTTAATAGTTTCTTACGTAGACCAGGCTGCCTGTAAGTCTATACGTTTGTTCTCGACATGATAACCAGACCTGTTCTTCAATGAGCTTTGTTAACCTGTTTCTGTGAGAAATCTGCACTGCCTTCCTGTCCGTAGCATGTCGGTAATTGGTATGATTTGCTCTAAATATCAGTTTCCTTGTTGTTAGTCAGACAAAGTTACAGGTTAGTTCAAGGTAACCAAAGGTCAAAGGTCATCTAGTCTGTTTGAAAAAAATAAGGAAATTTTGAGAAGAAAGATTTTTGAGGGATGGGGATGGGATATACCATAGATTTCAATGTATATACTAGAAATTATTGGTCAACAATTTAACGGGCTTTTCGCCTGTACACAACATGTTACCTAAGGGTCAATCATTTCCACAAACATGATAGATAATAATTCAAGGAATTTATATATCATATATATACTGTACCATATCATATTATTTATTTGTGCTACCGGAGAAAAGAAAACTTTTTAAAATGTGATCCCTTCCTAAAACTTGACATTTGACTCAGTATTTTCTTACTATTATCAATAGCAGTCGAACACAACATACAAATATCCAATCTCATCTCCCTGTACCTCTTATATACTGAAAAGAAGCCGCTCAAAGCTTTTTGCAAAATTAGCGCCCGTGACCTTAAAAGTCCGTCAAGGTCATTCATATTATCAAACAAGATAGCTAACGACAGGGAAATCTAACATGTGAAATATTAAGGCTGTAAGCCCTGTGGAACCTGAGAAGATGTCTTTAAAGTGTGCTACCCAAAACAGCAATTTTGAACTTTGACACCTATCGAGAAACGGAAGTTAAATTTTCAGACAAGGTTCCATTGATATATTCATTAGCAATGGATCAAAGTAAGCTACTGAAAATATCATCACCGTGTGTTTTATTGTTATGGAGAAAAAGCTATATGAAGATTTTGACATAATTGAATTCTGTGACCTTGAAAGTGGGTCAAAGTCATCTATATTATCAAACTTGTTGTAGACCTATATCATTCATCTAGATTTCGTTTAATTATTATGAGAAAAGTTTCCCCAGATATCCCCTATCATTAAATGACAGATTCAACTTTATCAGAAAAACAAAATGGCTGCTATGAAGTAATATCCTATTTCACCTTTAATTGTCATATCTCATTAATGGCTGAATATATTGAATTCGTCTTTGGATATTTCTCACAGGAAACATTTTCTGTAAGATGTCAACTACCTGTTTTCGGTAAGGGTCAGAGTTCGAATTTGATTTTTATGAAAAAGAATTTTTAAAAACTTTTCAAATTCTAAAATGCCAAGAGGCTTCATGTTTGAAAATGAATCGCTTATGGTCATTGGCTATTAAGTTTGATAATATAAAAATGACTTCGAATGATTTTAAAGCTCATAGCATTCAATTTGAAGAGATCAAATTCATCAGAATGAGACTCTGCATCGATCTGTAAAAGACATTTACAAGAGAAACAAAAACAAAAAAATAAATAAACGATAATAATAATAAAGGATTGACCTTTGACCCAGCAGCGAATCTGACGACGATTGTTTGTGTGATGTGACACAGTAGGTCGGTATGATAATAGTGTGGTGTTCTATATTGTTGTGTGTGTGTGTTTGATGTGACAGAGTAGGTCGGTATGACAAAAGTGTGATGCTCTATATTGTCGTGTGTGTGTGGTATGACATTGTTGTGTGTGTGTGTGTGTAGTGGTGATGTTCTATATTGTTGTGTGTGTGTGTGTGTGTGATGTATGACAATAGTGTGACTATATTGTTGTGTGTGTGTGTGTGTGTGTGTGTGACAGTAGGTCAATAGTGTGATGTTCTATATTGTTGTGTGTGTGTGTGTGTGTGTTCTGTGACACTTTTGGTCGTTTTGTCTATAGTGTGTTTTTCTATATTTTTGTGTGTGTGTGTGTGTGATGTGACACAGTAGGTCGGTATGTCAATAGTGTGATGTTCTATATTGTTGTGTGTGTGTGTGTGTGTGATGTGACACAGTAGGTCGGTATGACAATAGTGTGATGTTCTATATTGTTGTGTGTGTGTGTGTGTGTGATGTGACACAGTAGGTCGGTATGACAATAGTGTGATGTTCTATATTGTTGTGTGTGTGTGTGTGTGTGTGATGTGACACAGTAGTGTGTGTGTGTGTGTGTGTGTGTGTGTGTGTGTGTGTGTGTGTGTGAGGGTTTGTGTGTGTGTGTGTGTGTGTGTGTGTGATTTTGTGTGTGGTTGTGTGTGTGTGTGTGTGTGTATGACAATAGTGTGATGTTCTATATTGTTGTGTGTGTGTGTGTGTGATGTGACACAGTAGGTCGGTATGACAATAGTGGGATGTTTGATATTGTTTTTGAATTTGGAAAACCGGTACCTGCTCCCTCGAATCCCGAACACAAGTTCACACTTCGTGTTTAAATTCATCACACTGTTAATAATTAGGATGAATATTATCGGTCTCTCTGGCGAATCTCCAACATGCTAATTTTGTTTTTACAAACTCCTCGTGAAAAAGGTCAGAAAACCAACAGTATTATTACAATATTCTACAAGAAATAGATTGGACATGTTAGTTTTTATCAAACAAAATTTTGTTTTAATTTTTGGAAAGAAGCATACAGAATAGAAAACAAGAACAGGTACATGATATGATACGACTCTGCTTCAAGCTAACATCACACTCACATACAGTATTGCGAATACCAATGCACGGTGATCAGTTTCAATCAATTTATCGATTACTTTTAGAAAATGATATATCATAGGTGTGGTGGTAGGTAGGTACTATTATTCATGTCGTCCTGCTGTGGCCTATGGCATTTCGCCTGTCGCTTGTAGACTATCGACTGTCGCATGTCTCCTGTAGACTATGGGCTGTCGCCTGTCTCCTGTAGACTATGGGCTGTCGCCTGTCTCCTGTAGACTATGGGCTGTCGCATGTCGTCTGTCGCCTGTAGACTATGGACTGTCGTCTGTCGCCTGTAGACTATGGACTGTCGTCTGTCGCCTGTAGACTATGGGCTGTCGCATGTCGTCTGCCACCTGTAGACTATGGGCTGTCGCATGTCGCCTGTCGCCTGTCGCCTGTAGACTATGGGCTGTCGCATGTCGTCTGTCGCCTGTAGACTATGGGCTGTCGCATGTCGCCTGTAGACTAGGGACTGTCGCATGTCGCCTGTCTCCTGTAGACTATGGACTGTTGCATGTCGCCTGTTGACTATGGGCTGTCGCATGTCGCCTGTAGACTATTGACTGTCGCATGTCGCCTGTCTCCTGTAGACTATGGACTGTCGCATGTCGCCTGTAGACTATGGGCTGTCGCATGTTGCCTGTCGCCTGTAGACTATGGGCTGTCGCATGTCGCCTGTCGCCTGTAGAATATGGACTGTCGCCTGTCTCCTGTCGCCAGTCTCCTGTAGACTATGGGCTGTCGCATGTCCCCTGTAGACTATGGGCTGTCTCCTGTCTCCTGTCGCCTGTCTCCTGTAGACTATAGGCTGTCGCATGTCGCCTGTCCCCTGTAGACTATAGGATGTCGCCTGTCTCCTTTCGCCTGTCGCCTGTAGACTATGGGCTGTCGCATGTCGCCTGTCCCCTGTAGACTATAGGATGTCGCCTGTCCCCTGTAGGCTATGGGCTGTCGCATGTCGTCTGTCGCCTGTAGACTATGGGCTGTCGCCTGTCTCCTGTCGCCTGTCTCCTGTAGACTATGGGCTGTCGCATGTCTCCTGTAGACTATGGACTGTCGCATGTCTCCTGTAGACTATGGGCTGTCGCCTGTAGACTATGGGCTGTCGCCTGTCGCCTGTCTCCTGTAGACTATGGGCTGTCGCATGTCGTCTATCTCCTCACGAATCAAATGTTGTCTTTACTTGAGCAATTCCATTTCTCAAAGAAATATGATTTAATTTAAGACAAATGTTAACCATGACAAAACCTCGGTTGTGTTCATTTTATAGGGTTTCGAGATCAAATTCAACCCATTTATAGAAAATCATCAATCATTCTAGAGGCATCACTTTTCACGTAGAAATTCGATCTATCTTTAGACAAAGTTCGTCTGTATGACGATAAGCCGAGTGTGTTTGTGTTTCAGACGTCTTAGGTCAAGGTCACTATTTCTTATAAAAGATATTTAAAATCAAGGACATCGTCAGCACTCTAGGTAGTATATCTATCGGGCTATATCCAGTCAGCACTCTAGGTAGTATATATATCGGGCTATATCCAGCCAGCACTCTAGGTAGTATATCTATCGGGCTATATCCAGTCAGCACTCTAGGTAGTATATCTATCGGGATATATCCAGTCAGCACTCTAGGTAGTATATATATCGGGCTATATCCAGTCAGCACTCTAGGTTGTATATCTATCGGGCTATATCCAGCCAGCACTCTAGGTTGTATATCTATCGGGCTATATCCAGTCAGCACTCTAGGTTGTATATCTATCGGGCTATATCCAGTCAGCACTCTAGGTTGTATATCTATCGGGCTATATCCAGTCAGCACTCTGGGTAGTATATCTATCGGGCTATATCCAGTCAGCACTCTAGGTAGTATATCTATCGGGCTATATCCAGTCAGCACTCTAGGTTGTATATCTATCGGGCTATATCCAGTCAGCACTCTGGGTAGTATATCTATCGGGCTATATCCAGTCAGCACTCTAGGTTGTATATCTATCGGGCTATATCCAGTCAGCATTCCAGGTAGTATATATATCGGGCTATATCCAGTCAGCACTCTAGGTTGTATATCTATCGGGCTATATCCAGCCAGCACTCTAGGTTGTATATCTATCGGGCTATATCCAGTCAGCACTCTAGGTTGTATATCTATCGGGCTATATCCAGTCAGCACTCTAGGTTGTATATCTATCGGGCTATATCCAGCCAGCACTCTGGGTAGTATATCTATCGGGCTATATCCAGTCAGCACTCTGGGTAGTATATTTATCGGGCTATATCCAGTCAGCACTCTAGGTTGTATATATATCGGGCTATATCCAGTCAGCACTCTAGGTAGTATATCTATCGGGCTATATCCAGTCAGCACTCTAGGTTGTATATCTATCGGGCTATATCCAGTCAGCACTCTGGGTAGTATATCTATCGGGCTATATCCAGTCAGCACTCTGGGTAGTATATCTATCGGGCTATATCCAGTCAGCACTCTGGGTAGTATATCTATCGGGCTATATCCAGTCAGCACTTTAGGTTGTATATCTATCGGGCTATATCCAGTCAGCACTCTGGGTAGTATATCTATCGGACTATATCTACCAAATATTACACAAAGGTATAATACTATCATAAAAACTCCAATAGATAAATAGATATTTCTATGTCAACTTTTCAATTTCTATAAATTTGTAAAACAGTGATACCATTGTGCAATGTATTTAAACATTTCTTATTTTCTGTTTTTAGTGCCCGAGTGGTTTTTATTCATTTTTTTAAACGGGACCTAAATGATGAAGTGTGGATGTATGTCATTTCTAAACCACGTTGAAGCAGCACGTGGTCCTTTGAGATGTTAGAAACAGTAGACCCACACTTCTCCAGATAAACAAACCGATAATATCACAGCAGCAGCCCCGGCATATGGTGCTGCGAAATGTTAATTTGTAGATTTTCTAGATGTCTGTTTATTTATGATTATTCAGCGTGTAATTCATTTATTGTTTTATTGTTCTGCCGTGTTATTTTGATCTCTGTGGGTAAACAAATATTATAAATAAAACTAAAAGGTGACTTGAAAGACATACACATCGTGATTGAATAAATTTTTGATAACTTGGTCACACAGTCGAAGCTTATTCCAGGGAAACACACTCAACCCCAAAGTTTAATACGGTGGCTTGGAAAAAAAACATATAACTGTGGGCACCCAAAGACAGAGGAGATCGGTTATTTTGTATGCAGCTGTAGTGATAATTTTCAATTATTTGTTTTGAATTGTTGTTGTCAGTTGGATACAATTTTAGGCATACTTAGTGTTTTTGTTTATTTCTATCTGGAAACATATGTCAGTTTACTCAAAGAGTAGGTAAAATTCTGACCGTAAAACATTAAAAAAATTTAAAAAGAAAAAAAAAATGAATGACGATCTGACGTCACAGGATACACGCAAAATATATGTAGAAAATCCAAATTCAGTAAAACTGTTTTGACAAATGATACAAAATCCAAATTTATCATAAATGTAAATTCATGTAATATAGAAATGCTGATCCGACGTCACTTCCTGGTACTTTCGACGTCACTTCCTGGTATGACAGTTTGTGTATCTATTACAAACATTTCTTGATTTGTATTGATTTTTTTTTATTATACTTGCAGCTACTAAAGACACTTTACAACAAATCCACAGAGATTTCTGGAAATGGCATATGCGGGACTCTCCCCAATTTATGACTGCAACCGGATTCAATAAATATAATGACTTGTTGGAGTCAATGAATATCAGCATGTTTGAGGAGCGTAAGGTAAAGAACAGTTTCAGAAAATTTACTCGTCACTGATATACCTCCCTTGTCGCATCAGTAATGAAAGCCTCCTTTCTCTCAAGGTGATTTATGCCCCCTTTTCAAGGAGAGATTAGAAGAAAATTAGGGCCCTTATAATATGACTGGTCAGTGATGCTATGGGCTTAAAACACATAAGACTAAGGATAGTTTCAAGTGATTAATATATAATGAATATTTCCTAGAAAGTTTGGAGGAAAATCCTTGAAAACCTAACCCATAACAGCTATAGATATTGTGTAGCTTTTGATTGTTCTATATACAGGCACTTGTATAAACATAAATGCATGTTATACAATTTTCCTCGGTACAGATATGTGATATGTGTATAAGAGACAGTTCACGAAGTCTTTGTTCAAAACAGAACACAAAGACATCTGTATAATTATGGCATTATATATCTATTTATAGACCAGTAAACGTGTATAACTTCTAACAATCAAGTTTCACCATTGTCTGTAGCCGTTTGTAAAGGCAGCAAATACATTTACACATACTGACCTCGGGATTTTCTGAAGTTTTTCGCTTTGTCATTCGTCTGAAATTTGATTCACGTCTAATTACTGCAATAAACACAATTAATTGTTTTTGTAAGGGAAGCATACATGTTATATACTGACTTTGAGGTATTGGTTAGTTCATATTTCAAGGAGTTTTCCATCGAATTTGATTAATACAAAAAATGAAAATAATCGCTCGGTTTCATTTTCGGACTAAAACTAGCTTTGATGTTTTCATTTCTTATTTGCTATTGCACAGATAGTGTCAGACACAAGTTTTTAAAAATACTGAAAAGGGCGAGGTTTCAGTATCGGCATGGCAAATGTATTTGTTGTGGATACAAATGGTGGACGACATAGAATTAGTGGGCGGGTTATGATATTAGGCAGGATATGATAGAAAGCGGTTTATGATAGTAGGCGGGGTTATGATAGTAGGCGGGTTATGATATTAGGCGGGAATATGATATTAGGCGGGTTATGTTATCAAACGGGGTTATGATATTAGGCGGGGTTATGATAGTGGGCGAAGGTTATGATAGTGGGCGGGCTCTGATATTAGGCGAGGTTATGATAATAGGCGGGGTAATGATAGTAGTATTATACAAAGGTTATGATAGTAGGCGAAGGTTATGTTAGTGAGTGGGGCTATGATATTAGGCGGGGTTATGATATTAGGCGGGGTTATGATAGTGGGCGAAGGTTATGATAGTGGGGGAAGGTTATGGTAGTGGGCGAATGTTATTATAGTGGGCGGTGCTATGATATTCGGCGGGGCTATGATAGTAGGGGAAGGTCATGATATTAGGCGTGGTTATGATAGTATGCGAAGGTCATGAAAGTAGGCGGTATTGATATAAGGCGGGGTTATATCAACAGGCGTGGGGTATGATAGTAGGTGATTAAATAATTGATAGGGTCACAAAATCGAATGGGGTTTAATATTGGGTGAATTACAACATATTGAAGGATTACAATGATAGATAGGGTTACTGTAGTTTATGTGTTACTGTATGTTGTGGCTTAATTTCAGTTTGTGGGTTACTGTAGGTTGTGGGTTACTGTAGTTTATGGGTTACTGTAGTCGGTGGGTTACTGTAGTCTGTGGGTTACTGTAGTTTATGGGTTACTGTAGTTTGTGGGTTACTGTAGTTTATGTGTTACTGTAGTTTATGGGTTACTGTAGATTATGTGTTACTGTAGTTTGTGGGTTAATTTCAGTTTGTAGATTACTGTAGTTTGTGGGTTATTGTAGTCTGTGGGTTACTGTAGTTTATGTGTTACTGTAGTTTATTGGTTACTGTAGTTTGTCGGTTACAGTAGTTTATGTGTTACTGTAGTTTGTGGGTTAATTTCAGTTTGTAGGTTACTGTAGTTTATGGGTTACTGTAGTCTGTGGGTTACTGTAGTTTATGGGTTACTGTTGTTTATGGGTTACTGTAGTTTTGTACTGTAGTTTTGTAGGTTACAGTAGTTGGTGGGTTACTGTAGTTTGTGGGTTACTGTAGTTTATGGGTTACTGTAGTTTGTGGGTTACTGTAGTTTGTGGGTTACTGTAGTTTATGGGTTACTGTAGTTTGTGGGTTACTGTAGTTTGTGGGTTATTGTAGTTTGTGGGTTACTGTAGTTTATGGGTTACTGTAGTTTGTGGGTTAATTTCAGTTTGTAGTTTACTGTAATTTGTGGGTTACTGTAGGTTGTGGGCTACTGTAGTTTGTGGGTTACTGTAGTTTATGGGTTACTGTAGTTTATGGGTTACTGTAGTTTGTGGGTTACTGTAGTTTATGGGTTACTGTAGTTTGTGGGTTACTGTAGTTTGTGGGTTACTGTAGTTTGTGGGTTACTGTAGTTTATGGGTTACTGTAGTTTGTGGGTTACTGTAGTTTGTGGGTTACTGTAGTTTGTGGGTTACAGTAGTTTGTGGGCTACTGTAGTTTGTGGGTTACTGTAGTTTTGTGTAGTTTGTGGGCTACTGTAGTTTGTGGGTTACTGTAGTTTGTGGGTTACTGTAGTTTGTGGGTTACTGTAGTTTGTGGGTTACTGTAGTTTGTGGGTTACTGTAGTTTGTGGGTTACTGTAGTTTTGTAGGTTACAGTAGTTGGTGGGTTACTGTAGTTTGTGGGTTACTGTAGTTTGTGGGTTACTGTAGTTTGTGGGTTACTGTAGTTTGTGGGTTACTGTAGTTTGTGGGTTACAGTAGTTTGTCGGTTACAGTAGTTTATGTGTTACTGTAGTTTGTGGGTTACAGTAGTTTGTGGGTTACTGTAGTTTGTGGGTTACAGTAGTTTGTGGGTTACTGTAGTTTGTGGGTTACTGTAGTTTGTGGGTTACTGTAGATTGTGGGTTACTGTAGTTTGTGGGTTACTGTAGTTTGTGGGTTACAGTGTTACTGTAGTTTGTGGGTTACTGTAGTTTGTGGGTTACTGTAGTTTGTGGGTTTGTGTGGGTTACTGTAGTTTTGTGGGTTAGTTTGTGTTAGTTTGTAGTGTGGGTTACTGTAGTTTGTTACTGTAATTTGTGGGTTACTGTAGGTTGTGGGTTACTGTAGTTTGCGGGTAACTGTAGTTTGTGGGTTACTGTAGGTTGTGGGTTACTGTAGTTTGCGGGTAACTGTAGTTTGTGGGTTACTGTAGTTTGTGGGTTACTGTAGTTTGTGGGTTACTGTAGTTTGTGTGTTACTGTAGTTTGTGGGTTAATTTCAGTTTGTAGTTTACTGTAATTTGTGGGTTACTGTAGGTTGTGGGTTACTGTAGTTTGCGGGTAACTGTAGTTTGTGGGTTACTGTAGTTTGTGGGTTACTGTAGATTGTGGGTTACTGTAGTCTATGGGTTACTGTAGTCTATGGGTTACTGTAGTCTATGGGTTTCTGTAGTCTGTGGCTTACTGTAGTTTGTGGGTTACTGTAGTTTGTGGGTTACTGTAGTCGGTGGGTTACTGTAGATTGTGGGTTACTGTAGTCTATGGGTTACTTTAGTCTGTGGGTAACTGTAGTTTATGAGTTACAGTAGTTTGTGGGTTACTGAAGTTTGTGGGTTACTGTAGTCTATGGGTTACTGTAGTCTGTGGGTTACTGTAGATTGTGGGTTACTGTAGTCTATGGGTTACTGTAGTCTGTGGGTTACTGTAGATTGTGGGTTACTGTAGTCTATGGGTTACTTTAGTCTGTGGGTAACTGTAGTTTATGAGTTACAGTAGTTTGTGGGTTACTGTAGTTTGTGGGATACTGTAGTCTCTGGGTTACTGTAGTTTTTGGGTTACTGTAGTTTGTGGGTTACTGTAGTCTGTGGGTTACTTTTCAGTTTGTGGGTTACTATTGTTTGTGGGTTACTATTGTTTGTGGGTTACTTTAATGTTTGGCCTGTTTCATTGCTGAATCATTTTGTTTTATACTAAACAGTGAAAACGTAAGGTCACATTATGATACTATTCTATCACAGATCGCTGTAGAGGGATTTATCACCCGCCTTAGAAATATTCCTCAGAAAACACTGTCAGCTCGACATCTCGTGGACTATAATGTGTTACAGGATTACCTACAAACCTTTGTTGACGGATACGAATGGAAAGAGTATGTATAAAACTGTACCATCACTTAAGATGGTTTTTTGTCTCTTGTAAATATTTGTGTCTTGATCAAGGGACAGATTGCCTCAAATGTTTGACAATTCATTTGTCCGTACTGTTGCTATTACTTCATTGATCATACATCTATTCAAGTAACACGCATCCAACGAACGTGTGTGTGTTAGGATCCAGTACCAATGTTGGACCATACCGTCGATATTACTTACTAGATTCTATATATAGAAGGTCCAGTACCGATATTGGACCATACCGTCGATATTACTTACTAGATTCTATATATAGAAGGTCCAGTACCGATATTGGACCATACCGTCGATATTACTTACTAGATTCTATATATAGAAGGTCCAGTACCGATATTGGACCATACCGTCGATATTACTTACTAGATTCTATATATAGAAGGTCCAGTACCGATATTGGACCATACCGTCGATATTACTTACTAGATTCTATATATAGAAGGTCCAGTACCGATATTGGACCATACCGTCGATATTACTTACTAGATTCTATATATATATAAGGTCCAGTACCGATATTGGACCATACCGTCGATATTACTTACTAGATTCTATATATATAAGGTCCAGTACCGATATTGGACCATACTGTCGATATTACTTACTAGATTCTAGATATAGAAGGTCCAGTACCGATATTGGACCATACCGTCGATATTACTTACTAGATTCTATATATAGAAGGTCCAGTACCGATATTGGACCATACCGTCGATATTACTTACTAGATTCTATATATAGAAGGTCCAGTACCAATATTGTACCATACCGTCGATATTACTTACTAGATTCTATATATAGAAGGTCCAGTACCGATATTGGACCATACCGTCGATATTACGTACTAGATTCTATATATAGAAGGTCCAGTACCGATATCGTACCATACCGTCGATATTACTTACTAGATTCTATACCTATTCATATAAAAAAAATTCAGCACTTGAAATTTTCCTTGTCCCGTCTGGAAATAGTATACGGTTTTTAATGCTCGGAAAAGTTTGTTGTTCTTATCACTTCGACTGAGTTAGGGTTCCCTTCTTTAATCGAATGAAAGCTGTTATCAACGGTATGTTTTTATATTCGCGAACTCAAATGACCTTGCCCTGATATACATTATACTTGTTTCATCTGACAATTGGCGGTGTGTGCACTTTACACACCGTGCGGCTCCACCAGGATATAAAACAGGACGAGCATGATAACTACCATGTAGATTTTCTTGATTGTGTTAGCAAAATTTTGGATAACTTGTCAAGTATAAAGGAAATTGCTGAATTATACCAACTGAAGATACAATGGTGAAAAATGGAAAACTACATTTGTGATACACAGAAAGGCTAATGTGAACAGTGTTTAAGTTAATGAGAAAATTACGAACCACTTGTGTTGAAAGATAACTGTACGCGAAAGAGATAGGGATACTCTGCAGGAAACGTGATAATAGAAGTCTACATCTTGTCAATATATAATATTACAACTCAATGTAACACCCAATAAAACGCTTTCCATTGTTGATAAAACTTGGAACGAAACACAGGAAGTTGATTACCATACCCGATGTGTTTTATCACCTCTTAATGAATTCAGGAAACGATGCTCGTTGTATTCTCTGGGGGGCCTTACCGCTTTAAAACGAAACTATGTTGATTCTGACATTTGTAAATAATGTGAACCATTTTGTATTTAATGAGTTGTCTCGTAGGTTTCTAAAAATATAATAGAAATAATAGTTGTACCCCGAATTAGCAATCATAAATTATTCTTATGATCTGGTAGAGGAATATCAAGTTGGTTTATTCACTGTCGTGTACCTATTCAGGAATGGTCTTGTCAAGATGGCTTAATTTAAGCCACAAAAACACTGGTTTACAAATGCAATTTGACCGAGAGAAGTACCAAACCAGACTTAGAAATATATGTTGGTGTTAAAATCACACATAAGTGTGAGTAAATTGTTGAATTTGGCATGGAGGCGGGAATCGCCGTGAGTTTGTTCCTCATATCGAAGTATTTCAGCAGTCTGAGGTTTATTTTCATTGTCAGGGATACACCCCAATAACATCTGCTTTAAAGCGATATATTGTTTAAGCTCATCGCCCTGTAATATTCACAAAAACAAAAGAAAACAATTTTGTTTACGTTACGGACCGATTCTCAAAAATACATAGGCAACTTTGACAGAAAAACGATAGATCCGATACGACTATGGATTGGTCCTAGATGACGGGCTGGATATACTGTTTCCAAATAAAAAACTCAATTCCTGTCATAATATGATATGTTTTTCTTCTTTCTTACAAACGTCCTGTTTCATGGTATACCGATGCTATTATTTCAATGCCGGAGACGATTTTCGAGGTTTGGTTGGTCATGCTTGTTCAATTTATGCTGCCGATTTTCAAATCTTTCAATGTCAGAATTTCGCAGTAAAGAGGAATTAGTTCTTAATAAATCTGCGTCGTATATGATGGACATGATATATACTGAGGACTCTTTGCTGCCAGTGGAGGAATTTGAAAAGCCTATGTTTAATTTATCAACCGATGATGTTCAGATGAACTCCATGTAATGGAATCATTTAGCTTCACTGAATAAAGACAGCTTGTTTCAGGATTTACTAGGGGAGTTTGGAATATGTTTAAAATTTATGCAAACAAAAAATATGGTACGTGCCAATTTTAAGGCAAGACTTATCATTCAAAATTAATAACCAATCCATGCATTCTGTGATGTGAAGGAACATACACTTTCCTGTCGTAATCTAGACTGTCAGGATTAATATCTAACTTTGAGATAACCGAGTTTTTGAGAAGACATTATTCCAGTGGACCTGAGAATACTTTTAGTCAAATGAGGTATTCGAGGTAACGAAGTTTAAATGCATATCCCGACCAAACGATTTGAAAGAAACAATGAAAATACAACATAATCTTGGTATCTTTGTATTTCCACTTCATTCTAAATAACATTGCAGTCATTTATTGAAACCAATCTAATGGATCTATTTTTGGAACCAATCCGTAACATTTTCTGTCAAAGATGCTGTGTATTTCTGATGACGAGTCGTCCGTAACGTAAACAAGAACAATTTCCTTATTTTTTTGTTTATGTTAAAGAGCGACGAGCACATCAGAAGTATTGCCTAAAGGCGGATGTTATTTAGGAACTGAACAAACAAAGATTGTGATACAAATATCGAGTATTTCTGAGTTGTGCGTGGTACTTGTCACGGTCAGATTGCATTCATGAACCAGCGATTTTGTGCCTTAAAGTGAGCACACATCATTTGTAGCAGTCTTCATCCGCCATCTTGAAAAGACCATTCCTTAACGGGTACACGACAATGGTATTGTCAAACGTGTGCTCCAGATGTTGTAGTAGACAATGCGACCCCGTATATTATATATCATGTCAAAAGGCCGTTAATAAAACGTTAACTCATGTTAGCCTATGTATCATCATTATAATGAACATTTAGAAAAAAGACACAATAATTGTCTTATACCTTTAGAATAGACACAATACTTGTCTTATACCTTTAGAATAGACACAATAATTGTCTTATACCTTTAGAATAGACACAATACTTGTCTTATACCTTTAGAATAGACACAATACTTGTCTTATACCTTTAGAATAGACACAATAATTGTCTTATACCTTTAGAATAGACACAATAATTGTCTTATACCTTTAGAATAGACACAATACTTGTCTTATACCTTTAGAATAGACACAATAATTGTCTTATACCTTTAGAATAGACACAATAATTGTCTTATATCTTTAGAATAGACACAATACTTGTCTTATATCTTAGAATAGACACAATACTTGTCTTATACCTTTAGAATAGACACAATACTTGTCTTATACCTTTAGAATAGACACAATACTTGTCTTATATCTTAGAATAGACACAATACTTGTCTTATATCTTAGAATAGACACAATACTTGTCTTATATCTTAGAATAGACACAATACTTGTCTTATATCTTAGAATAGACACAATAATTGTCTTATACCTTTAGAATAGACACAATACTTGTCTTATATCTTAGAATAGATACAATACTTGTCTTATATCTTAGAATAGACACAATACTTGTCTTATACCTTTAGAATAGACACAATACTTGTCTTATACCTTTAGAATAGACACAATACTTGTCTTATACCTTTAGAATAGACACAATACTTGTCTTATATCTTAGAATAGACACAATACTTGTCTTATATCTTAGAATAGACACAATACTTGTCTTATATCTTAGAATAGACACAATAATTGTCTTATACCTTTAGAATAGACACAATACTTGTCTTATATCTTTAGAATAGACACAATACTTGTCTTATATCTTAGAATAGACACAATACTTGTCTTATATCTTAGAATAGACACAATACTTGTCTTATATCTTAGAATAGACACAATACTTGTCTTATATCTTAGAATAGACACAATACTTGTCTTATATCTTAGAATAGACACAATACTTGTCTTATATCTTAGAATAGACACAATACTTGTCTTATATCTTAGAATAGACACAATACTTGTCTTATATCTTAGAATAGACACAATAATTGTCTTATACCTTTAGAATAGACACAATACTTGTCTTATATCTTAGAATAGACACAATACTTGTCTTATATTTTAGAATAGACACAATACTTGTCTTATATCTTAGAATAGACACAATACTTGTCTTATATCTTAGAATAGACACAATACTTGTCTTATATCTTAGAATAGACACAATACTTGTCTTATATCTTAGAATAGACACAATACTTGTCTTATATCTTAGAATAGACACAATACTTGTCTTATATTTTAGAATAGACACAATACTTGTCTTATATCTTAGAATAGACACAATACTTGTCTTATATCTTAGAATAGACACAATACTTGTCTTATATCTTAGAATAGACACAATACTTGTCTTATATCTTAGAATAGACACAATAATTGTCTTATACCTTTAGAATAGACACAATACTTGTCTTATATCTTAGAATAGACACAATACTTGTCTTATATCTTAGAATAGACACAATACTTGTCTTATATCTTAGAATAGACACAATACCTGTCTTATATCTTTAAAATAGACACAATACTTGTTTAATGTCTTAAACATAGGCCACAAGAATGTTAGCTGTTTTTAACTATACACAATACTTGTCTCATGTATCTGAAATAGTCATAATATTTATCTTATGTCTTTGGAATAGACAAAATATTCAAAAACATTAAAACATGACAGGAGTATGTGTGATTGTAGAAAATATTGCATCATTCTAAATTGCGTTCAAACGTCAGAACTATGTTATATCAATGTCTGTACGAGAAACGGTATTAATATACATGAACTTTGACCTGTCACATGATTGGATAAATTGACAATGGCCTATAGCATAACTGGATACATGACTATGACCTGTCACGTGATGGATATATCACTATGGCGTTTCACGTGATTTGATACCTTTGACCATGAACTGCAAGTCGTTAAATACGTGTCTATTTCGTGCCATGTGACTGCATACTTTGATTATTATCTGACATGTGACTGTATACATTTATTATTACCTGTCGTGTAATTGGAAACATTAAAATGATATGTCACGTGATTGGATACATCGACTATGATCTGTCATGTGATTGGATACATTAACTTTGACCTGTCACGTGATTGGATACATTGACCATGACTCGCACGTGATGGAAACATTGAGTACATACCGCCACTTGATTGGATACATTTTTATAACCTGTCACGTGATGTATACATTGAGTATGACCTGTCACGTGATTAGATACATAGATTGTGACCTGGCACATAACTGGATACATTGTGTATGCCTGTCACGTGATTAGATCATTTACTATGACCTGTCACTTGATTGCATACATGACTGACCTTTCAAGTGACTAACACATTGAATATGATCAACACGGTAAATAGTGTTACCCCGTTTAAAGTGAATTCTGAGAAGTGAAAAGCAACAACGCTACGTTTGCATATGTCTGAAACTAGACAAGCGACACAAAGTACGTAGACAAGCTCCTGTTTCAACTTGACTGGGAACTTTTATTACTTAATTATTTTCGTGCGTTGTAATTTTCGTTTTCATTTTGATAGTTTTTAACTGCTGTTGAAAAGTTTTTCAGTTTTCTGTCCCAACGCTGAGATCAAATAATCTCTCATGTCTTTATAGAATGTAATACTTTGATTTAGTGCGGAACATGTCATGTCACTGGGGTAACTAGAAAAGCGGATATGTAATTACATTGTCTTGTACAAAACATTATATAAACGACATCAGAAGTAAGATATTTCAATTTTAATTGAGATCTATTTTATGTTTGGCAAGTTAATCGTTTACGCGCCTGTTATATAAACTCTGGTGACTGTTTTTTTGCAGCTTTCTTGCTCTCAATCCAATCAACTTTATGGAAGGACTGCAAAGCAACCCTCAGGCCTTTGTAGACACTTCGCCATTTATATCGCACGGTGACTTCATCAACTATCTCGCCAGACTCAGGAACTTGCCAGTAATGGTAGGGGTTAATACTTAGCGTCTATATCCTCTCTGTATGTAACATATTATCTCACCTTCAGTGCGGTTATTTTACATTTTAGTCTCTGTTATATATGATCTCACCTTCAGTGCGGTTAATATACATTCTAGTCTGTTATATATGATGTCACCTTCAGTGCGGTTAATATACATTCTAGTCTGTTATATATCATCTCACCTTCAGTGCGGTTAATATACATTCTAGTCTGTTATATATGATGTCACCTTCAGTGCGGTTAATATACATTTTAGTCTGTTATATATGATGTCACCTTCAGTGCGGTTAATATACATTTTAGTCTCTGTTATATATGATCTCACCTTCAGTGCGGTTAATATACATTCTAGTCTGTTATATATCATCTCACCTTCAGTGCGGTTAATATACATTCTAGTCTCTGTTATATATGATGTCACCTTCAGTGCGGTCAATATACATTCTAGTCTGTTATATATCATCTCACCTTCAGTGCGGTTAATATACATTTTAGTCTGTTATATATGATGTCACCTTCAGTGCAGTTAATATACATTCTAGTCTGTTATATATGATGTCACCTTCAGTGCGGTTAATATACATTCTAGTCTGTTATATAATATCTCACCTTCAGTGTGGTCAATATACATTCTAGTCTGTTATATATTATCTCACCTTCAGTGCGGTTAATATACATTCTAGTCTGTTATATTTCATATCACCTTCAGTGCGGTTATTATACATTCTAGTCTGTTATATATGATGTCACCTTCAGTGCGGTTAATATACATTCTAGTCTGTTATATATTATCTCACCTTCAGTGCAGTTAATATACATTCTAGTCTGTTATATAATATCTCACCTTCAGTGTGGTCAATATACATTCTAGTCTGTTATATATCATCTCACCTTCAGTGCGGTTAATATACATTTTAGTCTGTTATATATGATGTCACCTTCAGTGCGGTTAATATACATTCTAGTCTGTTATATATTATCTCACCTTCAGTGCGGTTAATATATTATTTTACCCTCTCTGCTTGTATTATAATTATAATCTGATCGTCCCTGTAAGTTATATATTTCTGTGTCCTCTGTGGGTGTGATATTATTTACCGTCCATAAATTTTATGTAGTTATTGCACTGCGTGGATACATACACACACATATATATCCTATGCTTTTAGTGTTTGTGTTTTTTCTCTGTAATCTGAATGAAAAATAACGAAATAAATATTGTTTACGTCTTCAGGTCGATGAAATCATCGAGAGATTAAAGCGAGCTATAGAAGTGGGCCACACTCATCACTGGTCGGCTGTTGTAAGCTTCATGTACTAGTTTAGTACGGTGGTCGTGTTATATGTATACCTTATGTTATTCAAGGGATCGTTTATGATGACTGAGTTGCGCGTGTATTTTAAATGACCCCATTTGTTTTTCTATTAATGATCTCTATGTAATGGAATTCGTTTTATTTATTGTCCATAAAAAACTGAATGAAAAAACTGAATAGCATAATTAGATCATCTGAACGCATCACACATCAACCTATCACTGTGGTAAATGTGACCAAATCAAATCTACATACACACATCAAACTATCACAACAGACTAATGAACATCACACCATGGACTATTGAACAACACACCATGGACTATTGAACAACACACCATGGACTATTGAAACAACACACCATGGACAACTGAACAACACACCATGAACAATTGAACAACACACCATGGACAACTGAACAACACACCATGAACAATTGAACAACACACCATGGACAACTGAACAACACACAATGAACTATTGAACAACACACCATGGACAACTGAACAACACACCATGGACAATTGAACAACACACCATGGACGATTGAACAACACACCATGAACTATTGAACATCACACCATGCACAATTGAACAACACACCATGGACAATTGAACAACACACGATGGACAATTGAACAACACACCATGGACAATTGACCAACACACCATGAACTATTGAACAACACACCATGGACTATTGAACAACACACCATGTACAATTGAACAACACACCATGAACTATTGAACATCACATCATGAACTATTGAACATCACACCATGAACTATTGAACAACACACCATGAACTATTGAACATCACACCATGAACTATTGAACAACACACCATGGACAATTGAACAACACACCATGAACTATTGAACAACACACCATGAATTATTGAACATCACACCATGAACTATTGAACATCACACTATGAACTATTGAACAACACACCATGGACAATTGAACAACACACCATGAACTATTGACCAACACACCATGAACAATTGAGCATCATACTAAGGATTAATCAGCATGGATTTATACTGAGGTACTTTCCTTCTTGTAGAAAATGGTACCGCAGCAGATTGATGCATTTTTAAAGTCAGAGCCGACAGACTTGGTATTCTTTAAACCATTTAATTCTTCTTTGGATGAAATACAGCATATTTCAGATGAAACCAAGTAAGTATTGACCGCAGTTAGATATCTATAGGAAACAATAATTAAAAAAATGATTTATGTATAAGTCATTGTATGTAGGAATAACACGATGTATTCTTTATCTATTGAAGAATTTCTGTTTTATACTCTCGCTAATGACACAGTGAAATTGTTCTTCATTTCTATTCATTACGAGATTTTGTTTGGTTGTTTTTCACAGATCACAGTAGAGACGACTCGTCCTATCCTTTATTTATCAACAGATGTTGTTTATTTTGTACAGATCACAATGGAAGTCTCTCGTCCTATCCTTTATTTATCAACAGATGTTGTTTATTTTGTACAGATCACAGTGGAGGTCTCTCGTCCTATCCTTAATTTATCAACAGATGTTGTTTATTTTGTACAGATCATGGTGGGGGTCTCTCGTCCTATCCTTAATTTATCAACAGATGTTGTTTATTTTGTACAGATCACAGTGGAGGTCTCTCGCCAGGGTATACTGCTCGGATATCATAGATGCATTTGAAAAATTGAAGAAATTTATAGTGGAAGTAAGTAAACTGCAGATTAAGATATATCTTATTTCTTGTTAAGGTATCCTGCACCTTTCGAAGTTTTGTTTATACGGAAGGTGAGGGGGTTGATCCCTGCAGTACTTGTTGTATATCTCTATCACTACAAGTCCTCACAATGACACGAGCGATATGTTCTATTGAAGGCAACAAAACATTTCACAGTCAGTGACCGTCCGACGTCAGTCTTATAGCCAAGTTTTTTGTCTATTATTCAGAAATAATAAAAATAATCTCACTGTAAATTCGGCGTTACATGGGATCTATCAATATCGTGAGACAATTTGATATGTTACTCGCCTGAAGGCTCGTTAAACATGAAATCATTAAACTTGTTAGATAGATTCCATATAACATAGACCTTCGAATGTTTATGTCAACAACACGCCCATTCCCTAACAGAGTTGTCGATCTTTGACAGTCATGTTACACCTCTGTAAACGACTGAAATAAATTTAATATAAAATTGCATATGCAAAGATATTATTCACACTCTCTGAACGATAATGATATGAATTAATATTGGGTCGCTTCTATTTTATTTTAATTTTTGATGTTAATAAAATGGTTATGCAAACTCCAAAATATCATAATTAACAGAGAGGACACAACTTTTAAAAGATATATAAATGTTATAATACTTTTCATCAGTTATGAAATGAATAGTTAACAATTTAGTCCCTTTAAGAGAAAGTGACTAACACGGACGTTATTTATTCAGGGTATATATGTATTTTAATAACGAGAAATGATGTGAAATCGAAGCAAATCGACCATGTCGGGCACATGGAAATCATTATTAGTAGTCAGGACGAAACTGACTATAGAAAAATCAAAGAGGAAGAAATATGTATTAGTTTAAATATAAGTAAACGTGTTACCAGTTCAAAACACGTGAAAATACGAAATAACATCCAATATTATCTATCTCTTTTGTCTTATCCGTTCCGTTATATTGAAGTGATATTGTTTCTTATTAGATATACATGAAAAACACAAGAAGTCATATCGGTGTAGGATCCTGGAGAGAGGGAAAGGAGTTTTACAGGGCGTGTCTAAAGTTTCATCTCTCGGTCGACATGACACCTGAGGAGGTATTCAAATTAGGCCAGGACGAGGTGGCCAGGATACTAAAACGTATGAAAAAAGTAAGGACACATGACGTTACCGTAATATTTCTGTTAACACATTAAACGGTTCTATTATCAAGTATATCTAAACGTTTATTTGCATTGGTTTTGTGAGCTACGTGATGTATATCATTGGTAACATTGTGTACTACGTCACGTATATCATTGGTAAAATTGTGTACTACACGTCACCTATATCAGTGGTGATATTGTGTACTACGTCACGTATATCATTGGTGATATTGTGTACTACGTGATGTATATCATTGGTAAAATTGTGTACTACGTAATGTATATCATTGGTGATATTGTGTACTACGTAACATATATCAGTGTTGATATTGTGTACTACGTCACGTATATCATTGGTGATATTGTGTACTACGTGATGTATATCATTGGTGATATTGTGTACTACGTTACATATATCAGTGGTGATAGTGTGTACTACGTAACATATATCAGTGGTGATATTGTGTACTACGAAACATATATCATTGGTGATATTGTGTACTACGTCACGTATATCATTGGTGATATTGTGTACTACGTCACGTATATCATTGGTGATATTGTGTACTACGTGATGTATATCATTGGTGATATTGTGTACTATGTGATGTATATCATTGGTGATATTGTGTACTACGTTACATATATCAGTGGTGATATTGTGTACTAGGTCACGAATATCAATGGTGATATTGTGTACTACGTAACGTATATCATATGTAATATTGTGTACTACGTCATGTATATCAGTGGTGATACTGTCTATGATGTAACATATATCATTGCATATTTATTTGTTATAATTGATTAAAATAACTGCCAATCGTTACATTGATCTCTCCCCGAGAACAGGTCATGAGGAAACTGGAATACGAAGGAAGTGTTAAAGAATTCTTTGATATGCTGAATCTAGATAGAAGTCTACAGCGTACTAATGCTGTAAGTATCCTCGGAATCTGTTGTTTTATACCACTTCTCTCTCTCTCTCTCTGATGTTTCCATCTCTGTTTGTGCCGTACTTTTTTCATCCTCGATTCCTATTGCTAATTGTCTGATTGGAACATAGGTTAATATATTCGTCTTTCATTTTCCCAATCAGATGTTATAAGTCGTGAGGTAACCTCCTCTACTATTCTGTTTTCCATCAGAAGTCGTGCCTCCTCTCGCTTCCAGACCTATGTCAACACTTGTTTAATGGCTGAGTACATAAATGTCAAGATCTTGGCGAGTTTATGTTACTTATCTCTCTAGATTATGCTGTCTGATATCTCTGTAGTTCTCGATGGTTTTTATTTTTTCATTTCTCGTTTATGTCACTTTCAATTATTTTAATGCCATTTTGATACATATATCTGTGTTGAAGGTTTACAGCATTCACTGTGTCAGTTTGGTTTTGGAGTGTCCCAATTTCATCAAGTGTTTTGGTCATGTAGGAATTGGGATGTCTTGAGTAATGATATTTACTGTCTCAATTATATTTGATATGTATTTGATCATTTGCGGAGTTATTTTTGTGTTTGCGTTGTTGTCGTAAAAATGTCGGACACAGGTCCTGTATAATTATATTCTTTGATAGTTTTTGAGGTTAACTACATGTACGTAAAAATCTACCGGACATTGAATACCCTCTGTCAGATCTTGTTTCCATGTAAAATTTTAAACACGTGGGTCGTCAGTGAATGTCGTGTTGATGTTTAAACTCGGGTCATTAAGAAAACAAAACAGAAGGTCTTACCTTATCATGCAATTATTGACCTGTTTTCAGATGAAAATAAAGAATAATAACGTAATTTATTAACCTGGATAAATCTGAATTTTACAAGAGTATATTATGTTTAATGGTTGGAGAATTTGTGTCCCTCATGTGATAATTTATCATCCAGTGATATAACGCAATTATACACAGCGGTAATTCAAACTGGCCTCTGTGAGACGTGAGAGAAGTGTGTGTGTAGTATGTTTCTTGTCTCTTTTGAATAACGGTTGTATCTCGTGAGGAAGAAACTCAAGTGAAAAATATAAAAGTTTCACCTCCAGAAACAATCTTCTATATATTCGATGACTTTTCCACTGTCATATTGTGAGTGATTCGTTGAAAACTTTTGGTTGTTTCTGTGTTGGCAGGATGACGTGCTAATGGAATATCGCTCCATATATAAATACAGAATCAAACCAGTCTTATCCAAATATTTTGAGAGACTACCAGATACACCCCTGAGGTAAGTTGTGTTTTTAAATTAGATATTAATATATATAAATTAGATATTTCATTTCTCTTCTAAAATACTGTCTCACGCTACAAGGAATCTATGAGGTTTCTTTGTCCAGGAATCACTTTTATGCGATAGGGATTTTGTATACTAGGTATATTCAGATGTTTTTACCCACATGAAAATGTCCCTGCAACAGCTGAATTTCCCACTGGTAGATGAAAATCTTGTGTAGGAGTTTCGTAACAAAAGTACGCTCTGTGGAGATATTTTTAATTTTCAAGTATAAGACCCTGAGAAATAATGAAGAGAATAATTTTATACTTTTACCTATCTACACTGGGACGTTAGATGATTGGAATTCAAAACAATTTTGTTCTAGTCAAATTTTTGAAAGACATAAATTTAAACAAATGTCCTCTTTTATTTAACTGCAGTACACTTATATTAGGATAATAGCAAGAAAATATCGACGAACTTTAAACAGCATATCAAACAAAATATGTTTTTAAATGACGTTCATTCTATATTTGACAATTTTCTTCAATTCAATCTGTTCTTAAAGACTTCCTGTCTGCTATACAAAGTGTAAAATATACCAATTGCATCAATAAATTAATTTATAGAAACGATAAGTCTAAGATTTATACCTGTGTTAATGACATTAGTTGAGATAAAATATTAAATTAAGTTGTTCGAAATGAATCAAGCGTTTCCAACTACTGTTAACATATGTTCAGTTTAGTAGCATTCTACCAACTACTGCTATTCAGTTTAGTAGCATTCTACCAACTACTGCTATTCAGTTTAGTAGCATTCTACCAACTACTGCTATTCAGTTTAGTAGCATTCTACCAACTACTGCTATTCAGTTTAGTAGCATTCTACCAACTACTGCTATTCAGTTTAGTAGCATTCTACCAACTACTGCTATTCAGTTTAGTAACATTCTACCAACTACTGCTATTCAGTTTAGTAACATTCTACCAACTACTGCTATTCAGTTTAGTAACATTCTACCAACTACTGCTATTCAGTTTAGTAACATTCTACCAACTACTGCTATTCAGTTTCAGTTTAGTAACATTCTACCAACTACTGCTATTCAGTTTAGTAACATTCTACCAACTACTGCTATTCAGTTTAGTAACATTCTACCAACTACTGCTATTCAGTTTAGTAACATTCTACCAACTACTGCTATTCAGTTTAGTAGCATTCTACCAACTACTGCTATTCAGTTTAGTAACATTCTACCAACTACTGCTATTCAGTTTATTAACATTCTATCAACTACTGCTATTCAGTTTAGTAACATTCTATGTGTAGAATGTTAAATCTATATGTCTAGATTGAAAATACTTGATTTCATACTTTCTCTGTATATCTGAAGTATTCACTTCTGCAATGACTAGGCTGGTAAGTATCCTATCAACGATTAGTCAGTAACCAGTCTGACTTGGGATAAGTCTATCAACGATTGGTCAATAACCAGTCTGACTTGGAATAATTCTATCAACGATTGGTCAATAACCAGTCTGACTTGGAATAATTCTATCAACGATTGGTCAATAACCAGTCTGACTTGGGATAAGTCTATCAACGATTGGTCAATAACCAGTCTGACTTGGAATAAGTCTTGGTCAATAACCAGTCTGACTTGGGATAAGTCTATCAACGATTGGTCAATAACCAGTCTGACTTGGGATAAGTCTTGGTCAATAACCAGTCTGACTTGGAATAATTCTATCAACGATTGGTCAATAACCAGTCTGACTTGGAATAAGTCTTGGCCAATAACCAGTCTGACTTGGAATAAGTCTTGGTCAATAACCAGTCTGACTTGGAATAAGTCTATCAGCGATTGGTCAGTAACCAGTCTGTCTTGGAATAAGTCTATCAGCGATTGGTCAATAACCAGTCTGACTTGGAATAAGTCTTGGTCAATAACCAGTCTGACTTGGGATAAGTCTATCAACGATTGGTCAATAACCAGTCTGACTTGGAATAAGTCTATCAGCGATTGGTCAGTAACCAGTCTGGGTAGAATAGTATGTAGGTAATCGAGTTGTCTAATTTGTTTGGGTTGGATTGTCATTACATGACGTAAAGAAGACAATTTAATTGAACTGTTCTGATTGGCTGTGCTGTCTAGGATAGTGTCGCTACCGTCAGATGGTCCACAGGGTCTCTATATGACGGGATCAAAGGACGGGGAGAGGCCAGGCACTTTTTTTGTCAACACAATGCGGCCGCAATCTCAGTAAGTATTTCTCCATAAACTGGACAATAGTGGACAAATTCTATAGGGGAATTGTGGTGTTTTGTTTTGTTAATTCCTCGTAACAATAGAAAGACGTTATCCGCCTTCATTGGCATTCGTGACAAAGTAAAAATAATGTTATACACTACGATGCAGTTAAATTCATTGCTTTGTTCTACTGTATCTAATTCTGTACGAACAGATGTTATTCACAAGTGTGACTCTTGGAAATCTCAAAAACAAGACATGGAAACGAATGTGGATATCTTCTTTCTTGCTATGTCTTTTTTTGAGATGATTCAACTTAAATTTATTGTTGTAGACATATCGTGATTAGAGCGTCAATGCGTGTTGGTAAAGTTTTAAGCAATTAATATCAATCCGGGCATTTTCTTCTTAATTTGTAAACATCATCGTAATGTCAGAATGATAGATAGATGATTCAATGTTTATCAATTATATGTTGATAATGTGTCGTTCATATTGATGATTAAATGTTAAGAATGGTGTGTTTTAATTGATAATTAAATGTTAAGAATGGTGTGTTTTAATTGATGATTAAATGTTAAGAATGGTGTGTTTTAATTGATAATTAAATGTTAAGAATGGTGTGTTTTAATTGATAATTAAATGTTTAGAATGAGGTGTTTAACCTGATGCTAATATTGAGGTGTTTAATTTGATACTTTGATGTTGGTAAACACGTGGAAGGAGGAATCAGCCGTATGATGTGGTACCATTTTCTGGCTATTACTGACTATGAATTTTTCTTTCAAAATCCTGGCCAGCTGTGCATCTTCTGTACATCAATAATGTGTAGATAAAGCTTTTTATTGGTTTATTCAATCAAATTGATAAAATTTGTATTTTCATTAGATCTGCTTCAAAGAGATTCGAAACATGTTTAGTATACGTATATATGAACCTATAAGCGTACACATTATCTATATTGGTTAATTGACTTTATCGAATGATGAAGATAGGTTTTTTGATTGATTCTACCTGACAATATTTAGGTAACTTTTCACATACAATTTGCGATTAGGAATATTGCTCAATTTTACCATGTTGATCAGAAATGAAAACATGCTTGCGTCGTTAACAACGCGAGAGTCTATTTCTCAATGTCTTATCACAAAATATTGTATTTATCACAGAGGAAGTATAACTGTTTTTTTTCTCCATATTAACATTCAGCATTTCATTTACAAATCCACAGTCCTACCTTTACGTTCATGGCCTTAACCCTGCACGAGTCTGAACCGGGACATCACTTCCAGGTCTGTTCCAATGATACCATATCGCCATTTTGATTAATATATGAGATGTAGTTTCTTGTTAGATAAAGGAGAGAGAGAGAGAGAGAGAGAGAGAGAGAGAGAGAGAGAGAGAGAGAGAGAGAGAGAGAGATATTGTGTCTTCATTCATCAACGATTGTTGAGCTGTATAATGTCATGTCCACTCTGGACGAACAACTGTTCACAAATATCTACTGATTCAAATCTCATTTACGGTTAATTTCAGCTGAGTTATGCAGCACAAACGAAACTTCCAGAATATAGAAGACATCTCGAGATAACGAAGTATTTCCAAGTGCCATTTAACTTTCCGTTCTACACTGCATACGTGGAGGTATGTAACAGTTACGTTGTAGTAAATAAATCTATCAGGATCTTATACCTTAATAATTAAAAATACATCAAACAGACTAGATAATGTTGTTTAGGTCTGTTTATCCGATGCCAAACTCAAAGTTAGATTTTGGTTATAGCGCGAGACAAAAGTATTCATGGTCCAGCTTTCAGTTGGCGCATAATAATTGTTTTTCAGACGTTTTCTTTAAGTACAGACAGGGAGCTTCCCAGCCATTATTTCTATTATCAAATCAGGGAATAGATTTTATTGAGAATGGTAAATTCGACTAGAGGGATCAAAAGAATATAGATTTTGTACAAGGAGCTTTTAACATTCTACGTTGAACATCTAATCTTATCTATCAAAACAACTTCATGAGTCCTTAACAACTGCTGTTGTTTGCCACTTAATAACCTTGACCCCTTTTCAAGATCACCGAAGTTAAAAGAATTGAAAACTCAAAACACCTCAATAATGTGAAAGCCTCAAAGTATTGATATTTGATATATAGCATGGAATGTAGGTCTACCTTGTGTGTTCAAATGAATGGCATACGGCCATTTTTCCGAGGCCACAGGGGACAAATGTGGTAAAATATATTCAAACGACTTCTCGATAATCAAAAGCCTCAGGATGATCTTATTGGGCATGTAGTATGCTGGGGTAAATGGCTACCACTTTTGTTCAAATGATTGACCTTGACACACTTTCAAGGGCACATGTTAAATTGGCGAAAGACTTTATACACCTTATTATTAACCAAAAGGCTCACTGTGTTTATGTTGCTATTACACCACGCTTAACTCACTCCCAATGTCAAAGATGTCTAACATGGTCGAATCGTCAAACGTTTTTTTGTTGATAACCAAAAGGCCATGGATTCTGATATTGTTTTTGTAACATGATTGGAGGAAGGGTTACTGAATCTATCACATGATTGAGCTTAACTAACTTTCAAGGTCACTGGAGTCAAATGTTTTATTCTTTTTTTTTCAACAAGCAGTATGTCTTTGGTCATGGTATTTGCGTATATCATACTTATGAAATAGAACTTCAAGTTTGCAAGATATTGGTGTTATGAACAGACAGTGTTTCTGTGTAAACAGGTGAGCAATTCATGCCCATCAAACCATCTATTTTCCTTTATAGTCAGATGGCCGCTAAGGTCCGTGAGGCTATTGTTAAAGAAACATCATTGATTTGTTTGCAGGGATGGGGTCTCTACGCTGAATACCTCGGGGAAGAGTTAGGCCTGTATGAAGACGAGTATGAAATGTAAGTTCATTACTTTTCCATGTAAAATGTTACCGTCACCTGTATGGCTGCATGATGTTCCTATCGTAGCTTGTACTGTTATGTTATAGGTGTTATTACACTGTTAACATGGTAGTTATGTTATGGGTGTAATTACACTGACAACAGGGTAGTCATGTTATAGCTGTCATCACACTGTTAACAGGGTAGTTATGTTATAGGTGTTATTACACTGACAACAGGGTAGTTATGTTATAGGTGTTATTACACTGTTAACAGGGTAGTTATATTATAGGTGTTATTACACTGTTAACAGGGTAGTTATGTTATGGGTGTTATTACACTGTTAACAGGGCAGTTATGTTATGGGTGTTATTACACTGATAACAGGGTAGTTATGTTATATGTGTTATTACACTGTTAACAGGGTAGATATGTTATAGGTGTTATTACACTGATAACAGGGTAGTTATGTTATAGGTGTTATTACACTGTTAACATGGTAGTTATGTTATAGGTGTTATTACACTGTTAACAGGGCAGTTATGTTATCGGTGTTATTACACTGTTGACAGGGTAGTTATGTTATGGGTGTTATTACACTGTTAACATGGTAGTTATGTTATAGGTGTTATTACACTGTTAACATGGTAGTTATGTTATCGGTGTTATTACACTGTTAACAGGGCAGTTATGTTATCGGTGTTATTACACTGTTAACAGGGTAGTTATGTTATAGGTGTTATTACACTGACAACAGGGTAGTTATGTTGTAGGTGTTATTACACTGTTAACATGGTAGTTATGTAATGGGTGTTATTACACCGATAAAAAGGTAGTTATGTAATGGGTGTTATTACACCGATAACAAGGTAGTTATGTTATATGTGTTATTACACTGTTAACAGGGTAGTTATGTTATAGGTGTTATTACACTGATAACAGGGTAGTTATGTTATAGGTGTTATTACACTGTTAACATGGTAGTTATGTTATATGTGTTATTACACTGTTAACAGGGCAGTTATGTTATCGGTGTTATTACACTGTTGACAGGGTAGTTATGTTATGGGTGTTATTACACTGGTAACAGGGTAGTTATGTTATAGGTGTTATTACACTGTTAACAGGGCAGTTATGTTATCGGTGTTATTACACTGTTAACATGGTAGTTATGTTATAGGTGTTATTACACTGTTAACAGGGTAGTTATGTTATAGGTGTTATTACACTGTTAACATGGTAGATATGTTATAGGTGTTATTACACTGATAAAAGGGTAGTTATGTTATAGGTGTTATTACACTGTTAACAGGGTAGTTATGTTATGGGTGTTATTACACTGATAACATGGTAGTTATGTTATGGGTGTTATTACACTGTTAACAGGGTAGTTATATTATAGGTGTTATTACACTGTTAACAGGGTAGTTATGTTATAGGTGTTATTACACTGTTAACAGGGTAGTTATGTTATAGGTGTTATTACACTGTTAACATGGTAGTTATGTTATAGGTGTTATTACACTGACAACAGGGTAGTTATGTTATAGGTGTTATTACACTGACAACAGGGTAGTTATGTTATAGGTGTTATTACACTGTTAACAGGGTAGATATGTTATAGGTGTTATTACACTGTTAACAGGGTAGTTATGTTATAGGTGTTATTACACTGTTAACAGGGTAGTCATGTTACAGGTGTTATTACCTGTATATGTGAAATGTCTTGGATATTCTAGACAGGGTGTTAATAATGAAAGTGTCAGTGAGGGAGATTCCAGACAGGGTGTGAATGATGAAAGTGTCAGTGAGGGAGATTCCAGACAGGGTGTGAATGATGAAAGTGACAGTGAGGGAGATTTCAGACAGGGTGTGAATGATGAAAGTGTCAGTGAGGGAGATTCCAGACAGGGTGTGAATGATGAAAAGTGTCAGTAAGGGAGATTCCAGATAGGGTCAGAATGATGAAAGACACAGTGAGGGAGATTCAGTGAGGGAGATTCCAGGCAGGGTGTGAATGATGAATGTGACAGTGAGGGAGATTCCAGACAGGGTGTGAATGATGAATGTGACAGTGAGGGAGATTCCAGACAGGGTGTGAATGATGAATGTGACAGTGAGGGAGATTCCAGACAGGGTGTGAATGATGAAAGTGTCAGTGAGGGAGATTCCAGACAGGGTGTGAATGATGAAAAGTGTCAGTGAGGGAGATTCCAGACAGGGTGTGAATGATGAATGTGACAGTGAGGGAGATTCCAGGCAGGGTGTGAATGATGAATGTGACAGTGAGGGAGATTCCAGGCAGGGTGTGAATGATGAATGTGACAGTGAGGGAGATTCCAGACAGGGTGTGAATGATCGTAGTTCCAGACAGGGTGTGAATGATCGTAGTTATAGTCAGGGATATGTAAGACAGGGTTTGAATATAGATGTTATACCGAGAGAAATACAGAGAATGATCGTCCTAAGGTCCTGCATGGAGGAACCGTCATCACGAACCAATCGTCGTCTCGTAAATATATTTTTTTTTATAACAAAGAAGGTGAGACACATCCAAAGATACATATTCCTACAAACATGTTCCCTGCTTCTGATAGATTCGGAGAATTATCATACAATGCGAGAGACAGAGTGGTGGTGCAAGAGTCATACGCCAGGTTATAAAGAGAAGCCGGTGGCGCCACGCTTGGCTTGAGTTAAATGAACTAGAAAACAGATGGTATGCAATTCGATGTGTATTTTTTGAGAATTCGGCATCAGTATGTAATGTTGACATCGTGTATTAGTTTAGGACCGAATCGGACGAATGGACATCATATTGGTATATACTGGTATATATTTGTGTAATATACGTAAACAAAGCAATACATTGTATTAGTAAATATTTAAATATTCGAAATTGTCAAGGAATAGCTAAAGAAATAAAGTACATGTCAACATTACTTCAACAACAAAAAATATTCGAAGATAAGTCAGTAGCATTAGTAGGATCATGGGCTATAATATTAGTTCATATCATGACTTTTACCAACTTTCAAGGTCACCGGGGTCAGATTTGTTGAAATCTTAAAATGACTTCTTAACAATAACGATGAGGTCAAAGGTAATGATGATTCGGCCAGAAGCATGCTGGGATGAAAGGCTACGAAGTGTGTTCACATTAATGATGTTGACATACTTTCAAGGTCACAGGGATCAAATGTTTTGAAATTTTCAATTCTCAATAAGTAAGAGGTCGAGGGTAATATTGGACAAATAACATGCTGAAGTCAAAGGTAACTAACTGCTTTCATGGTGACAAGAAATAGACACAATAAAATATAATTTCCCTTAATAACTACGAGGCGAGGCTTGGTACCAGCAACATGCTGTGAGTGGGATGAATGGGTACTTAACATGACAAAATAAATTACCTTGATAAGCATTCAAAGTCACAGTGGTCAAATTCTTTTATAATTCTATTCTAGAAATATCACAATTTGTTGCTTGTGTCCACACTTAACCCTGGTTGAAATTGGCTGAATTTTATGCAGGTGTGGCAGAATCAATTATTTTTCCAGAATGAGAGTACTGAAGTATAAGGATCCTAAATCACAATCAGCTGTATAGGGGTTCCTTTGGGAGGGGTTGATAATAACCACGGTAAACTACATGTATTATCTTATCTTTATCACTATAACATCTTACTCTACCCATGTTAATATTAGACAGAACATACTAAATATCCTCTCTAGAATGAAACATATGAGAATTTGTATTCATTTTCAGTTGGAATTACAGAACAGGTTGGATATATTCTGAAATGTCATTTAAATCTACACTTGCTACAAACACTACTGGTATTGGACAAGTCAGTTTTGATAAATCGGTGCTTGTCATTTGTTAAAAACAATAATCAAATTCAAGATAGTTGCAACAAATTGACATGATATATCTTCACAATACATCGAAATTTGTTCCAAAAATAGTTGTAACAAATTAGCATGCTACAACTGTACCCTGTGTGCATTGCCATCGTATCTGTTTGTCATGACGCAAACAAATTGAAGGGCGATAACTCTGATGGATAAAAGGCCCTAGTTTTCACTCCCTGTCAGATGTTTTTTAAGCCAATCATTGACTTTGTTATGACGGTATATTAAGATGTATTATGATGCCGGTGTTATATACCATTATTTATATATATATATATGTATACCATTAGTTTTGTAAGATAATAAATTTTGCTGCAATTCATTTTCAGTGTGTTTGATTTTGCAGGATGGGTCGCTACAGCTTCGAGATATTCCGGGCATGTAGGCTTGTCGTCGATACTGGAATACACTACTTCAAGTAAGAAACCTTCAAATACGAGTGAATTTCTATTTCAAACCTGAAGCAAGAGTTTCAATTATGATGATTTAAATGTGATAACGTTATTATCCCCAGCTGGTCGAGAGAGCAGGCTGTTAGTTACATGATGAATCATACCTCCTTGCCACTGAAGACAGCAGAGAAAGAAATTGATAGATACATCGTGTTTCCTGGACAAGCATGTGCATACAAGGTCGGCGAGATCAAGATCAGAGAGATCCGTGAAAGGGCGAGAAGATTATTGGGTAAATTTTAATTGGAATCAGATAACACGTGTTTAGATATAAGATCATTGCAGGAGATAATTTCTTACTAGTTTTGTTTAAGATAATGTAACTGAGTGTATGTGAGATAATGTGTAACTGTGCGTGAGATAGTGTGTAACTGGGTTTGTGTGAGATAATGTGTAACTGTGTGTGTGTGATATAATGTGTAACTGAGTGTATGTGAGATAATGTGTAACTGTGCGTGTGTGAGATAATGTGTAACTGTGTGTGTGTGATATAATGTGTAACTGAGTGTATGTGAGATAATGTGTAACTGTGCGTGTGTGAGATAATGTGTAACTGTGTGTGTGTGAGATAATGTGTAACTGTGTATGTGTGAGATAATGTGTAACTGTGTGTGTGTGTGTGTGTGGATGTGTGTGTGTGTGTGTGTGTGTGTGTGAGAGAGAGAGAGAGAGAGAGAGAGATAATGTGTAACTGTGTGTGTGAGATAATGTGTAACTGTGTGTGTGTGATATAATGTGTGTGTGTGTGTGTGTGAGATGTGTGTGTGTGTGTGTGTGTGTGTGTGTGTGTGTGTGTGTGTGTGTGTGTGAGATAATGTGTAACTGTGTCTGAGATAATGTGTAACTGTGTGTGTGAGATATAATCTGTAACTGGGTGTGAGATAATGTGTAACTGTGTGTGTGAGATAATGTGTAACTGTGTGTGTGATATAATGTGTAACTGTGTGTGTGAGATAATGTGTAACTGGGTGTGTGTGAGATAATGTGTAACTCTGTGTGTGTGTGAGAAAATGTGTAACTGGGTGTGTGAGATAATGTGTAACTGGGTGTGTGTGAGATAATGTGTAACTGGGTGTGTGAGATAATGTGTAACTGTGTGTGTGTGATATAATGTGTAACTGTGTGTGTGAGATAATGTGTAACTGGGTGTGTGTGAGATAATGTGTAACTGTGTCTGAGATAATGTGTAACTGTGTGTGTGAGATAATGTGTAACTGTGTGTGTGTGAGATAATGTGTAACTGTGTGTGTGTGATATAATGTGTAACTGTGTGTGTGAGATATAATGTGTAACTGGGTGTGTGTGAGATAATGTGTAACTCTGTGTATGTGAGAAAATGTATAACTGGGTGTGTGAGATAATGTGTAACTGGGTGTGTGTGAGATAATGTGTAACTGTGTGTGTGAGATAATGTGTAACTGTGTGTGTGTGTGATATAATGTGTAACTGTGTGTGTGAGATAATGTGTAACTGGGTGTGTGTGAGATAATGTGTAACTGTGTGTGTGAGATAATGTGTAACTGTGTGTGTGAGATAATGTGTAACTGTGTGTGTGAGATAATGTGTAACTGTGTGTGTGATATAATGTGTAACTGTGTGTGTGTGATATAATGTGTAACTGGGTGTGTGAGATAATGTGTAACTGTGTGTGTGTGAGATAATGTGTAACTGGGTGTGTGAGATAATGTGTAACTGGGTGTGTGTGAGATAATGTGTAACTGTGTGTGTGAGATAATGTGTAACTGTGTGTGTGAGATAATGTGTAACTGTGTGTGTGTGATATAATGTGTAACTGGGTGTGTGTGAGATAATGTGTAACTGTGTGTGTGATATAATGTGTAACTGGGTGTGATATAATGTGTAACTGTGTGTGAGAGATAATGTGTAACTGTGTGTGCGAGAGACAATGTGTAACTGTGTGTGTGAGACAATGTGTAACTGAGTGTGTGTGAGATAATGTGTAACTGTGTGTGTGAGATAATGTGTAACTGTGTGTGTGAGATAATGTGTAACTGTGTGTGATATAATGTGTAACTGTGTGTGTGAGATAATGTGTAAATGGGTGTGTGAGATAATGTGTAACTGGGTGTGTGTGTGATATAATGTGTAACTGGGTGTGATATAATGTGTAACTGTGTGTGTGAGAGATAATGTGTAACTGTGTGTGTGTGAGACAATGTGTAACTGTGTGTGTGTGAGATAATGTGTAACTGTGTGTGTGAGATAATGTGTAACTGTGTGTGTGTGTGATATAATGTGTAACTGTGTGTGTGAGATAATGTGTAACTGTGTGTGTGAGATAATGTGTAACTGTGTGTGTGATATAATGTGTAACTGGGTGTGTGAGATATAATGTGTAACTGTGTGTGTGTGATAATGTGTAACTGGGTGTGTGTGAGATAATGTGTAACTGGGTGTGTGAGATAATGTGTAACTGTGTGTGTGTGTGATATAATGTGTAAGTGTGTATGTGAGATAATGTGGAACTGTATGTGGGAGAGGGGGGTGGGGTGTGCGTGTGTGCGTGCGTGCGTGCGTGATCAGCTGTATCTTATTAAGCTGGTTACAACTCTCTGACATGGTTTTATAGGTGATGCCTTCGATATTCGCAAGTTCCACACGGTGGTGTTGGAGAACGGACCGATGCCCTTGAGAGTTTTAGAAAGCGTTGTAGACACCTGGATCAAAACTACTAAAGAGGAAGACAAAACCGTGCAGCCACAGCCCGCATGTTCCAGTGCCAACGTCTTTTTACATAGCTCATTTACATATATTGTTATTCTCATTTTGTCGGTATATCAAATAAAAGTCTGATTTATCTTGATGTTTGTTTATCTGTTATATACTGTTAATCGCTTATATTTCGCGTGGGATTTATTTTCGCGTTAATGCCTAAGGAGAGTCAATAGCGGATACAAATCTCTCGTGATCATTTGTGCGAAAATAACTCTTGATGGCATCCATGTTGTTTACATTACCAATATGAGTCCATATCAATTGGAGAATTTAAGGTCATTTCTAGACGAACAATTGCGAAATCCTGTATTCGCGAATATGGCTGAAGACGTAAGTTCGCAAAATAAAGTATTTGCGAAATCTAGGTTATTTACAGTAAGAATCTGGAGCTTGTAAGCCTGAACGTGAAATAGTCCTATTATACACAAACATACTTTCTTACTAGTCTAATCACCAAGCGATCGGGGGAACATGCTGTCATTTTCACCTGCACTTGGTGACATAGTACTCAGTTTGTTTGTACAAGACACGTGATGAATCCATGGACATATTTAGTTCGTAATCACAATACAACATGGCCCTAACAAGGTCAGCACCCAATTCGATTTTGGAGGTCATCTGTCAAGGTTAAAGTTCATAGATCAACCTTGACCATTTTCGGAATAAATAAAGTGCGTATGAACCATGAACAGATTCAGATAAGAAGAAAAAGAGGAGGGATGGGAGTCTACGTTAGCCCCTGTGCCACGTGCTTCACGGTGCTTGTTTGAAGTCCTCTTTCTTACACGATAAAACAAGAACTGTCATGACAAGAATGATCCAGTTTTAGTTTATGAAGTAGTCATTTAACTTCACTTGGGTACTGTATACATATCAAGGATAGTTCACGCACGTGGTCGAATCAGAGATGATTTGGTAGCTTCGAGCAACGTACAATTGTATCTGTTCAGCCTTAAAATTACTACGTGCAATCCAACCTATCGGTTCAGCCTTAATTACTACGTATAATCCCACCTGTTGGTTCAGCCTTAATTACTACGTATAATCCCACCTGTCGGTTCAGCCTTAATTACTACGTATAATTCCACCTGTCAGTTCAGCCTTAATTACTACGTGTAATCCCACCTGTTGGTTAAGCCTTAATTACTACGAATGATCCCACCTGTCGGTTCAGCCTTAATTTCTACGTGCAATCCAACCTGTCGGTTCAGCCTTAATAACTGCGTATAATCCCACCTGTTGGTTCAGCCTTAATTACTACGTATAATCCAACCTGTTAGTTCAGCCTTAATTACTACGTGTAATCCCACCTGTCGGTTCAGCCTTAATTACTACGTATAATCCCACCTGTTGGTTCAGCCTTAATTACTACGTATAATTCCACCTGTCAGTTCAGCCTTAATTACCACGTGTAATCCCACCTGTTGGTTAAGCCTTAATTACTACGAATGATCCCACCTGTCGGTTCAGCCTTAATTTCTACGTGCAATCCAACCTGTCGGTTCAGCCTTAATTACTACGTATAATCCCACCTGTCGGTTCAGCCTTAATTACTACGTATAATCCCACCTGTCGGTTCAGCCTTAATTACTACGTATAATTCCACCTGTCAGTTCAGCCTTAATTACTACGTGTAATCCCACCTGTTGGTTAAGCCTTAATTACTACGAATGATCCCACCTGTCGGTTCAGCCTTAATTTCTACGTGCAATCCAACCTGTCGGTTCAGCCTTAATTACTCCTTATAATCCCACCTGTTGGTTCAGCCTTAATTACTACGTATAATCCAACCTGTCAGTTCAGCCTTAATTACTACGTGTAATCCCACCTGTTGGTTCAGACTTAATTTCTACGTGAAATCCCACCTGTCAGTTCAGCCTTAATTACTACACGTAATTCCACCTGTCGGTTCAGCCTTAATTACTGCGTATAATCCCACCTGTTGGTTCAGCCTTAATTACTACGTATAATCCAACCTGTTAGTTCAGCCTTAATTACTACGTGTAATCCCACCTGTTGGTTCAGACTTAATTACTACGTGAAATCCCACCTGTCAGTTCAGCCTTAATTACTACATGTAATTCCACCTGTCGGTTCAGCCTTAATTACTACGTGAAATCCCACCTGTTGGTTCAGACTTAATTACTACGTGAAATCCCACCTGTCAGTTCAGCCTTAATTACTACATGTAATTCCACCTGTCGGTTCAGCCTTAATTACTACGTGAAATCCCACTTGTTGGTTCAGACTTAATTACTACGTGAAATCCCACCTGTCAGTTCAGCCTTGATTACTACATGTAATCCCACCTGTCGGTTCAGCCTTAATTACTACGTGTAATCCCACCTGTCGGTTCAGCCTTAATTACTACGTGAAATCCCACCTGTTGGTTCAGACTTAATTACTACGTGAAATCCCACCTGTCAGTTCAGCCTTAATTACTACATGTAATTCCACCTGTCGGTTCAGCCTTAATTACTACGTGAAATCCCACCTGTCGGTTCAGCCTTAATTACTACGTGTAATCCAACCTGTCGGTTCAGCATTAATTACTACCTTTAATCCCACCTGTTGGTTCAGCCTTAATTACTACCTATAATCCCACCTGTCACTTCAGCCTTAATTACTACCTATAATCCAACCTGTCGGTTCTGCCTTAATTACTACGTGTAATCCAACCTGTCAGTTCAGCCGTCAGCCTTAATTACTACGTGTAATCCCACCCGTCAGTTCAGCCTTAATTACTACGTATATTCCCACCTAAAACCATTCGGATTAAGCCTATATTCCGCTTCTGACACGTTGTCAGATACAGGTCGTCATAAAGACAGCAATTGACATCATTAAATGATAAACTGGATACAAAGTAGTTAGTATTCCACTAATTTACACTATATATCTGCTATTGGTGTTGTATTGAGGCCGAACTAGAATTAATAATTAAATCATTAATACGTGTATCGGTAAAAAATTGGAGGACACAGTTTAAAGGACCTACTGTATGTATGTTAAAGTAATATAGCCGGGAATCGTCCGTTCAATAATAACGATAGCAGTTAGAGGTTACAGAAATGGTACACTGTAACAGTGTCGATTTCTTTTCAACATCAACCATTGCTATAATCCACCAAGGAAAATAACACATCTTCAACTCTAATTCAGCATTACACAGTCTAAACAAATACAACAACACATTCTTAGAAAAGGAGAAAAACAAAAACAAAACAAAAAAACAAAAAAAAAAAACATATTATCTTCGTGCAAAAATAAAAATATTTCACCTGTGGCATACATTACGAAGATGTACAACAGTTACGCGGAAATTGAATGTGATGCCGTCAAAACCGGTTTTACTATGGATGTTAAAAACAAAATGTCAGACTTCTTTATTGCGCATTAGTATTTCATACAATGTACGTCCCTGCCGAATTCTTTAAGTTCAACCCAACGTATTAGTTTAGAGCTGTGGAGTTCGTGGAAATTTAGCTCAGAATTAGATAAAAGTAACATTTAATCAACTCTTGTTTTTGGTCTACGTTCTCTGTATTTCGTCGCACGCCAAACCATATACAATTTATCCTCCTACAAAAAGAGTTCCTTAAGACAACTTATGTCAACATGGCTGATTGAGTTATCGCCCTTCCCCTAATTCCCAGACCAGAACAATAAGAATCCGTACACATTACACAGCCGAGGAGGGCTAATTTGGCTGGTGTACGATGCAGTTTATTAACCATTTAGCATATAACGTATTAATTGATGTAATAAGACATCATTTTGAATTCAGAGGGAAAAATAATGTAACGCTATGGAGTCGATGCAGCTGTCACACGTTGCACACATGTCTGATGAATAACTAACAGGAGTCATAAACCCAATGATGTTCACAATACTCCAGCACACACATTACTCAAAGCTCTATAAATATTTCAGTCTTAACTGAAAGTTAAGAACAATGTAAGTGATATCAATAGTGAGTTCGTGTGTCCAACTATTGATCACTATTCAGGTTTCCGACGGAGATTTCCAGTTCTACCTAGTACATCCTGACCAGATCACGACAGTCTTTTTAACAACCCCGTACACACATGTTCTTCCTAACTTTAACCACCCACCTGCTTTTGTGTAACACCGGACGTGAAAGTAGGCCGCGTGACCTTCCAGGTTACGCTTCAGATATAAAATAGATATTATACACTATTGATTCTCTTACTGTCTTAAGATAACTATAACACACGTATCCTTGTTTTATCACACACAGGCCGGTTACAGAGGCTCAGTGGTCATGTTCTAATGAACAAAGCTGAACATAGCTTTGACACTGTCACAAATATTAAACTGGACACTGAAATATCTTGTATGATTGAAAGGGAAGTAAACAAACGACAGCTGTACCCCCCACTTCGGAAGCCAAACAATAACTCGCAACTCAACTGTGCACCAACAGTGTTCCCGCAAGACTTCATCTTCGTAGCTTAATATGGTGTAAAGCAGATGACTTCCTTGTGGTTGACAATGTCATCAAACTTAATACATTATGTAGCTAACGTATAATATAAATTTGCAGACTGTTAAATATCACATTCGAGGATCGATAAATCATAGTTTTCACCGGAAAAGTTCAAGTTCTTTATTTCACCAAAAGTCTTACGACTTATAGGTACAAGCTATTCATATACAGGTATATATGTTATAGGAGAGTGTCTAAAGCATACGAGTGCAAACTATAAACAACTGAACATATTACGAATACACACAATTATAAATAACTAACTAATCAATTACGCCTCTTAGTGGCCAGATATAAATATTTTCCTAAATTTGACAACTCTTTAACGTCATTCACAGATAATAGTTGGACAAGTTTGTAAACAGATGGACTCTTATAATAATACTTCTTTATATATTTTGACCTCAAATCATTATAAAAAGGACATACAAAAATGAAATGAAACTCGTCCTCGCCGTCTCCCAAGTTACGTTTGCTACAGTTCCTATTTCTTCGAATGATGTTATTGTGTCTACCTATTTCGATATCTAATTTATGAGACGATATTCTAAACTTAGTTAGCATACATTTGTATTT